TCGAACAAGCTGTTAAAAAACAGCCTCCGGACCTACAAGTACAACACCGAGTTGAGTTTATTTTTCTCAATACTCAAAAAGATTTTTTTTTTTTTAATTGCAGATAGATTCATTAGCCATTTATTTTATCTAATTTAATTTTTTCATAATCCGTCAATATGAAATATAAGGCATTACAGTAGATAGTCCTCCTCCATTTTATAGGATCTATGAAGACCCAATCAAGGATGGGTTTAGCTCCCACATACGAAATATATTGATTGAGCTTAACTAGCTACAATATGTGAAAAGTATTTATACAAGTATACGCAGACAGACCCAAAAAATTACGATGAGTTAGTTGAACTCAGTATACAGATGGTTCTGTAACTAGATTCGGGAGGTTAGACGACAGATCAACTAAAAATTTTGACCTTGCCTTGGTTTTTGACCAATTGATAAAAAAAAGATATCGGCCTGTTCTGTTCTCCATAATATATCGTCATGTTCTGGAAGACTGTTACCGATTGATAAAAATTTTGACCTTGCCTTGGTTTTTGGGCAGTCAATTAAGGTAGCTTTTTCGCTAATGTTGAGGGAGTGGGGCTTGCATGTGTGTTGTTTTTAATTTGATGGTTAAACTTCCAGATAACAAGTCAAGGACGACATGGACCCCGTTTCATTATGAATTTTTTTATCTTTTTAGACTACAGTTTTACCGACAATTCCATGATTATCTCTTTTAAGTTTTCAATAATCAAAAGCCAAACAAACTTGATTATCCCCACTTGTCAAGTTATCAATGTGTAATAACTCCTTCTAGGGTCCCCCACCCCACTAATTTTCTGCCTAACTCACTTCTTCATTTAATTTGGTACGTACGTATGGTTGCTTTTCTTACACTACTTTATAAAAAAATATATATATAATTCTCCCTAACTGTATTGCTATAAACTCAAAGTAGTGTCTTGATATGTTTTTTTTTTAAACCTTGTTTAATTAGGATATTGGTGTCATTTTCTTTTACTGACCCCAATGATCTATCTCCAGCTTCAAGTTTCAAAAAAAGTGTGCATGTCATTTGTCATCCTGCGATCACGTAGTGTCCTAGCATCTCCAAATAGTTAGTGTCAAAATGTATTTCCCGGGGAAAATGTTTAACATAGGATTATTGATCAAAGAAACTATATATATTTCCGCATCCAATTGGGCTAATTAAATTAACTACGTACATGTGATACTTGCCTCTTAATTTTGTTTCTTGAACGACTACTAGTTGATTATGGATGTTGCAAGTTTCAACCTAATTCAACACTAAACGCTCGATATCTAAACATAAAAGACGTCTTGAATGAAGAAAATATATTTGGTCTAACAATTTACTGATTAGTTACTGCAAATTGAACAATTATTTTTGGGATGCAATTCTATATTTTAAATCATGAGATAGGTGAGATTCTCTGTGCTAATAATTATGATGTAATTTTGTGAGTGACTTGAAATTTAAAGAGAAAATAAAAATATATATATATTAAAAAAATATGGAACGACGAATCGAAAATATCTTTCATTCTATACAATTCGATTGGATGGATGCATATCATACATAAAATTGATGATTATAAGGCTCATTTTGAGGAGAGAGATAGACATAAAAAAAAGAGAAAAATTACATTCATACTCACAAAAAATGATAAGAAGATTTTTACGTCCGTTCAAATTTTTTTATTTTCTCTCTCCTATTTCTCTCTCTCTCTTTTTGTGTCTATCTCTCTTCTCAAAATGAGCTCATGGAGTAACTACTATACATATTACTATTTATTCCTAGTGTATTATAAAATTTCTCTCGTATAGAAGTGATAGTTAGAGTTTATCATATTAGGATAAATATATACATAACCATCTTAATTGATATAATATCATTCTTGAAGGTGCTCGAAGAAATATTCCAACCGTCTTTATTATTATTTTTGTAAGTGTTAATAATCATCTAAAATAGTTTTATATTATTTTTTAATATATATTTTTTATCATAACTTGAAAGTCAAAATTCTAACTTGTAATTATATTTTAATATCATATTACAAATTATTTCAATTTAAAAGTTTAACGTAGTAATGAGATTTAGAAATTATTTTATTTTATTTTGTAATATCATATCGAAGCCATAGGATAGATGGGAGAGTAACAAATTTTATGTTTCTTGTGTCCCACTTTCTTAATATTAACTGGATCGTTCTTAAATCTCGAGTTTGCATACATTTACCCTCCCCTCTCACGAAATGGTAGTATGAATAAGATGTGATATCATGTTATTGAAAAAAATGATACTATGACTAATTAAGTACATAGAAGTTTGATCCGAAGTCAAAAACAATGGGACGCGACTCGCATGAGACCCGTATCTCAACTTGTTTTCGTTGATTCAATGCTTGCATCCGCATCGACCAAAGCAAAGCCAAATATATTTTTATGATTTTGGTCTTGAATCTTGAATCTTGATGCATACCTGTTTTAATGGAACTTACCAACATCACCGAACAATGTAAGCCATGCTACTTCCTCTTTCACACTTCCTTAAATCGATGAAAAACCCAATCCCAAGAAAAAGCTACAACACATGGGCTTTAGCCATATAAAACGCCTCTTCTCCTTACAAAGCATTGCAACTCTATACTCGTATGCATCGCCAATCCATTCCTTTTGATACCTTCTCGGTTCTCTTTACTCTAAAGTCATGTACCCATTTCAAGAACCTCATAATAATGCATCACTTGCATTCTCATATTATCAAACTTGGCTTCAATACCCATGTTTACGTCGCCACTCGCCTCTTGCATACATACGTTGTCATGTCATTTGATCGAGCGTGTGCATTGTTCGATGAAATGCCTCAAAGAAATACGGTTACATGCAATACGATGATTACTAGGCATTCGAGGGTAGGGGAGATATTATCGAGGGTCTTGGAATTCCACATCGGATAAGGACCCTTTCTATTTATTATGTGCCACATGTAAATTTTTTCCATGTGGGATAAAAGGAACCCTGGATAAATAAAAGAAACACTTCATCCCCCGTATCTCTCTCTCTCTTAGCGGCTTATCGCCCAACTCCTCCTCCTTCGTTGTCTCTCTCTTTCTTTGACGACAAGTAAAGAATACTTGAAAGAGATGGTAAATCGTCCGAGTAACTAAGAACAAATAATAGAAAGAGATGGTAAATTAAAGTACACCAATAAGAAAATTAAAAGTTCGAAGGGTTACCTTTAAACAAACCTCCATCAATTCTTATATAGCGGAATCTTTCAACTAAAGAGAGAGAGAGAGAGAGAGAGAGAGAAGGGTTACCATCTCTCATACCTTTAAACAAACCTCCATCAATTCTTATATAGCGGAATCTTTCAACTAGAGAGAGAGAGAGAGAGAGAGAGAGAAGGGGTTACCATCTCTCATGAATAAATTTTGAAAACCTATATTTTTTTTACCTCCCTTAATTAGAAGTCTGGTTTTAAAAAAAAAATGACAATTGCCTTGAATTTTTTATTTTCTATGAGCATTGACAACGATAAGAGACAAGAAAAAGGGTTGCAAATTGAAAATGGAAGATTCTTACAATGAAACTCAAGGTAGAGTTCACAAATATATTTTTAATTAGTTAAGTTTGGAATTATTTAATTTACGGATTTGTTTTCTTCCTTGTTTGTTTTTCTTATGTAGGTATATGCTCCGAAGTTAATGTTGATGATGTGATCATAGAGGAGAATGCTCTTTATGTCAATCAAAGTTACAACGAGTGCAATAATTTGATGGGAAAAGTATTCAATAACGAGAAAAAGATGTATAATTTTTATAATGAGTACGCTATTAGAACAAGTTTCGGTGTTAGATGTTCTAAGCCGAGATAGAACAGTGGAAAGTCTCATGTAATTCACCAAAGTGAGTTTCGATGTTCTAAAGCCGGTAAAGTTGAAATGAATCCCCTTTCAATAAATCGACGTAATAGATTTGAAACAAAAAGTGATTGTGGAGTAATTATCAGATTAACAATTAAACATGGTTTGTGGATTGTCACACACTTTGTCTTAATACATAATCATGAACTAGCTTCACCTTTGAAGCTCACCTATCGAGATCAAATAGAGCATTAACAACTTTAAAGGCTAATGTTATAAGCACAATGGTTAATGCCGGCATAAGAAATGGAGATGTTTTTGCTTATATGGTGAGAGAAGTTAGGGGTAGTGAGTACCTTAGTTTACTAAGAGAGATTGTTATAACTTTCTTGGTAAAGAAAAAGTAAGGTCGATTGAGCCCGGTGATGCATAAAGCTTAATTAATCATTTTAAGAAGAAGCAGAGTGAAGACTCGATGTTTTCTTATGATGTGCAAGTGGATCAAGAAAATAGAATGACAAATTTCTTTTGGAGGGATGGGAAGTCATTCATTGATTATGATTTTTCTTGGTGATGTTGTTGTTTTTGACACAACATATCACATAAACAAATGTGACTTGGTGTGTGCTCCATTTGTTGGTGTTAATCATCATTAGCAAAATATCATGTTTGGATGTGTATTTTTATTGGATGAAACCAAATCTTCTTTTACTTGGTTATTCAAGTCATTTTTGGATTCATAGGAGGGAAAGCACTAGTTGTCTTTTTTATCGATCAAGACCAAGCAATGGCTAATTCGATTTAAATTGTTTTCCTTAACACTTGTCATCGACTTTGTATGTGGCACATTATGACTAAGAATGCTCCAAACCATTTTGGTGGTCTAAATTCAAATCCTAATTTTCAAAAATTGTTTTATTAGTGCTTGAAAGGTTGTGAATCCGAAACCGAGTTCGAAGAAACTTGGGAGAAAATGTTAGATGCCTTTGATCTTAGAGAGCATAAGTGGTTGAAGCAATTATATGAGAAACACGAAACTAGAGCCTCGCTTTGTCTAATGATTTCTTTTTAGCTGGATTTCTATCATCGCAACGAAGTGAAAGCACTAACGAGTGTTTTGGGAAATATGGCAAACAAAACTACTTCACTCGGGAATTTGTTAAATCATTTGAGGAAATTGTTCGGGGATGGCATTCTTTTGAGGTCGAAGAGGATTTTTGTTGTAAGCAAAGTAGGCCTCCTTTAATAGTTAGAGGTAGTGGGATTTCAAACCATGCAAAAAATATTTATACTCATAAACTTTTCAAATTGTTTGAGGAGGAGTTCAAGAATGCCATAGGAAAATTTTTGTTAAAACTATCTTCCGATGGTGATGTGTATGAATTTAAGGTTGGAGGAATGGATGGCTCAAGGATCCGTCATGTAAAGTTGGATATGTCCACTTGTGGAGATAAGTTATTCTTGTAAACAATTTAAGTATATGGGTTTGCTATGTCGTCATGCATTGAAGATCTTGATCATTAAGAACTTTGACAAAATTCCAAATAAATATGTGTTAAGTATATGGTGTAAAAATGTAAGAAATAGATGATTGGAAGATGGGATGTATAATGCTAGTGTGGATGGTAAGAATGATGATTATGAGATGGTTTATCGAAATAATATGATGCGAAATGCTTATAATATCATCTTGAAGAGTCAAGGAAACATAAAAGCAAGAGAGATTGTTCAAGATGGACTAAAGAAGATTGATAAAGATATTGAGAATGAATTGGCCAAATTAAGAATGTAGAAGAGACACTTGATGTTAATCCTATCTTGAACCCTCCTCGTGCAAAGACCAACGGTGTCTCCAATGCAAGATTCAAAGGATACTTAGAAAAATCTAAGAAACAAGCAAAGACAAAAGCAAAAGTAACAATCACAAGTTTTTAAAATAAAAAAATGTCATTTTTCACTTTTAGTATGAATACCTTCTAACTTATAATTTCATTTTCATTATAGATGTAAATAGTAATATATCTAGATCAATTGTAGAGAAAAAGTGAGGCAAAAATTCTCAATGCAAAGTTCCTACAAGGCAAAAAACAAATGATCAAGATGAGGTACTCTTTTAATCCATTACTATATTTCTTACATGAAGTTTTTATGATATTTATAATTTATTATATATTTTTGTCTAGCTAGGATCCTCTCTAAGTATGAGCACACATAACATTCAAAATTTTCAATATCGTCTTGCAAGTTCAATGCAAATTCCATATCACGAGGTACCACCACATATGCATATGTGAAGTCATGTTGGTGCTCACTTCTAGGTATACACAATCTTCAAAAAAATTTGTATTGCATTCATTTTTTATTTTATTTTTAGGCTAATTAAAGCTCGTTATTTTTATTAGTATTGGAATATGGAAGATTCGGACATGCCATTTACGACAACGTTATAAGGTGTTAAGCCTATAATGCATTTGAGTCAAGTAAGTTATTATAATTGTGTTTTAATAATAAATTTTTTTTGTAAGTTCAACAGTGCGTAAATGTGTATATTTATTTGCAGAGTTCATCTTTAATGCTCAACTTATAAATACAACTCCAAATGTGGATGATTGATATAAAGAAAGTGGTATAAGTAGTTCATTACAAATTGAAACACTTTTGTGGTGATGAATGGAAGAGACATTGAGGGTCACCATTTTCGTTGCTTATTTAGCCTTATTTATGGCACATTGAGACATTTTTTATATGTTGAAGAGGACATTCTATTATTATTTATTATGAAATTGTTAATGACACATTAAGTTTATTTAAGTTTAGGCTTTTTCCCTTTTGAAAATTAAATTATATATCTTCATTTTGCAAATCATGGATTGAAGGTTGCATAAATAGTAGTATATGGCTGCAGCAATATATATTCATTTAAACTTTTGGTGCTAACAATATGAAAGTATCAATTTTATAACCAAAAATAGAATGTCATTAAAAATGAAACTCAAAACAATTAAGAAACTACGAATCTATCATGTTCTCCTTGAATGCTAAAATTTTACCGAACAAAATTTGGAAAAAAACCCTCTTTTATATCATTCCTATGTACACAATCTAAAACAAATACAAATGGTTGTCATAAAATGTATCCCTATTGGGTCAGCAGATTAATCATTTGCATCCACACTAATCCTTTTATGTTGGCACGCATTTGAGACAGATTCTACAAAACTTCCAAGTTTTAGGCTTCTTTGGTACGCTGGAGTTCCCTTGCTCCTCCTTATGATTTATTCCCAAGAAATTTTCAACCTGAAAATTGAAGTACATGCTTAAAATCTTGCTTTTATAATGACGGGGGAAAAATTATCACTATTGACTTATATTAATGCCTTCAATCAAATCCTTCATTGGCATTTTCCCCTCTTTTTCTCTCTTTTTTAATGTGAAGAAATCTGGAAGCTAAATTGGAAATACTTCATCAAAGAATAGTTCCTCTCCAAGCTACAGTATCAAGCATCCAAAAACCCAAGCTAAAGATAATTTCCTAAAACCTCAGTGGACTTTTAGACTTTTGATTCACAAATATGATTATTGTCATATATGGCTCCATGCTTTCTTTAATCAAAGAAGTAGTTTTTCAATGAAATCCACTGATTTCTGTCATATAATTTTACGATTCACATAATAGAAACTTTACAATTTATAAATAATACAGATATAGTTAAATCTAGCAATACCTTTCAAATGCTAAAATAAAGTGACGTCTTCCTAACCACTCCCTCTTAGATTCATAGAATCCATCATTCGAAGAACCAAGCCCATCCTTTTGCTTCTCCTCAAGCATGGTACTTGCAGACTAGCATGAATGAACATTTACAAATTTATAATTATTTATCAGAAGTAATATAGCATTCACCATCAGCATTAAAACACGCATGCACAAAGAAAACAGAAGAAAGAACAAAAGCACCTCCCATGTGATTCCACGATCTAGAGTGAAAGTAAACAGAACAGTTAATGCCCCAAACATTTGATCAATGTGAACAGTCTGTAAGATAAAAGTCAACATCGCTGGTTGAGTAAAGCCACTAAAGGAACAACAAGACAGTATACCTTAGGAGTTCCATGTAATTCAATAGTGTTAGCTTTCATATCAACAATCCCAGAATCAAGATTCCCTTCAATGTAGACATTCTAAACAAAAAGATCTAAGATACTAACGAAGAAATCAAACAATCTACAGTGAAAAAGTCTAGCAGATTAAATTTATTTCTGACTGCAACAAGCAATCATTTTCAATCAACAAAATAGAAACCTGTTCTGAATCTCAGGTGGCAGTCCTAAGATCCGATTGAGGAAACGCCCGACATCATGCATGTCTAAATCAATCATATGTCCAGACAACTTTCCATAGTCTTTCCCATTACCTATATAAAATGTGAGAATTTATAGTTATAATTGTTACAAACAAAATGATGATTAAAGATAATAAAACGGAAAAAATGAGAGCATAACAAAGAAATAAAATTGATAAAAGTATATTTGGATCGTTTAATTCAAGAAAAAGTAGTGAAACAGAAATTCACAAGAAAAACAATACCAAGAACGGAGTCTCTAACTATTCCAACAGACACGAGCAACTTTTGCCTTAGTTATAAAATCTTGAACTGTCTCTGGCTTTTCAGATGAACGTCCTGGAGGTACAACTGGCAGAGTATCCTGAAAACTGAATTTTAGTTATTCCCAACAATACCTGGCACTGTAATTTTCCACTATAAATCCAGCATGAAGAGAGGAACTAAAATATAATCACAAAAAAGATGATTAACACCTGCTCCATAATTCCACTATACATCAACATCAAAGCCTTTTTCCCATGTGCACTATCATAATTGTAAGCACTCAAAGAAAGCCCTGCCCTGCAAAGTATTTTGAGACATACAATCAAGCAAAAGACATCATTGATGGTGATTTCGACGAGGGGACTATCGACGCTGCAACATGCATCAGGAACTTTGTCGCCAGGGTGAAGACCAAGGAGATCGGTAGGGATGGAGCCACCCACAGAGAGAGAGAGAGACGGCAGAAGAAGGAGGAGTTGGGCGGCAAGCCGCCGGAGAGAGAGAGAGAGATACGAGGGATGAAGGAGAAGATGAAGGGTTTCCTTTATTTATCCAAGATTTCTTTTATTCCACATGGAAAAAAATTTACATGTGGCACATAATGAATGGAAGGAGTCCTTGTCTGATGTGGAATTCCAGGACCCCTGGATAATTTCTCTAACTTTTTGAGGCAATGCCAGTAAGGAATGCGGCTTCATGGTCTGCCATGATTACCGCTTAAATTAATAATAGGTTTTGGGATCAAGGGTTGTCATTTTTTCGAGAAATGATTGCTAATGGGCACCCGAAACCTGACCAAGTGACTGTAAGGATCTGTTTTGTCAGGTTGTGCACACATGGGTTCTCTTGGATTGTTAGCTGGGAAATCAGTCCATGGCTTTGTAGTGAGGAATGAATGGGAGTTGAATGTGGATATTGGCAGCGTTCTTGTTCATATGTATGCCAAGTGTGGATTCTTGAAGAACGCTGTCTGGGTTTTTGATTTGATGCAAGAAAGAAATGTCTCGAATTGGACTGCATTGATATGTGGCTTTTGTCAAGAGGCATTATCTTTGTTTAAGATGATGCAAGAAGCTGGTGTTAGGCCTAACGAGATGACTTTCACGGGGATTCTTAATGCCTGTGCGCATAAGGGGATGCTTGAAGAGGGTCGCAAGTATTTTAAAATGATCAAAGATACTGGCTTGGAGCCTAGAATTCAGCATTATGGATGCATGGTTGACATGTTTGGTAAGGCAGGGTTGTTAGAAGAAGCTTATGATGTTATTAAAGAGATGGAGTTTGAACCTGGGGCTCCTTTTTATCAGGATGCAAGGAGCATAAGCAGCTTGACATTGCTGATAGAGTGATAGGGCAGGTCTTGAAGGAAATTAAGCCGGAGAATGATGGAGGCGTTTATAGTCTTGTATCTGATTTGTATGTTTTAAATGAGAAATGGGATGATGCAGAAAGGGTGAGGAAATTAATGCTTAACCAAAATGTGGGAAAAGCCTGGGGCTCTAGCTGCATCTGAAGTGGTTTACAGTTATAGAGAGTTCAATTTTCCTGTCTTCAGGCCACACATAAAGATTGAAGAATTGTGCACTAATGAAACTGCTGATTGTAATGGGCTTATAAGTTACATCTCTTGTCCTTAAACTGACGATCACATAATCACGAGTGCCATATAACTTCATTTCAATTCTTCAAATTCTTGAGTCAACAGAATCTCAGAAGATGAATATGCGCAGTGAGGAAGAAAAAATCTGGATAGTTTACGATCTATCATTTGTTCTGGAAGAAAATATTAAAGCCAGAGCATGCTCAATGGAGTACTGGCTGGCTCGCATTCTGCAGTGACTGGATTTTGAGGGAGAAGAACATATATAATGACTAGTGAGAACTGGACGTTGACTAAGTTTTGTTCTTGAGCTTGGATCCATAAATCAGCTGGATTTTTAGTTTTTCACTCATCCATGTATTCGCATGTACATTTGTTTTGGATATTTTCATTAAATCAAGGTTAATAACCACCACTGTTGGTTTTCTGATCATAATTTCGAGGTGGCTTTTGTTTGTTTTCTACTCATATCAACGTGGACGCAAATATTTTCACTTGCATCTCCCCTGAAACCTATTGGCATCAAAGCTGAACTGATTTGGAATTCTGGCAAAACCAGAATGAGGGAATGTTCTCACAAGCTAGCACGAAGACTACAGCTCCTTTTTTTATGCAATCAGTCGCTGACAACGACAACATTAGCTGCCTTTTATTATCATTAGGGAAAAAAAAAGATAATTAAAGTGTTCTCCAAAAACGAGATTATGGTTTTATTCACAAGCCAAGGAAACCAATCACGTCAAAGTTTTAATGTAGACACTTCCTGTTCTGCTGACAATATCCGAGGTTTACAGTATATGGAGTTGGTTCTTGCAAATTGTAACCAGGCCGGAACTACATTATGGTGGCCAAACTTTGAAAGCTTTCATTTTATCCCTGAATTCAAGACTTTTTTCTCCTGACAACTATATGTTGGGCCACTTATTTTATCTCACTTTTAAACTAGCCCTCGTGTACTTTCATATTGCTTGTCTATTAATTGAATAATTCTATATTCGTCCCTTAATTTTGTGTTGTATTAGTTGTGCCCATGTCTTCAATGTACTTGGGGTATAGATTTATTTTTTACCGCCTAGCTAATTGGTAAGTTATGAGCAGGTAACTTGAATAGGTCGTTTAAGTAATAATCCTACGATCTTCCACTCTAAAGGTCGAGGCTATTGTATGTGGGTTCGTTCCCCTATTTCTGTTATATTGTGGGTCTAATATTTGCCACTAATTGAAGTTTTGAAAACTCCTTTCACAACACTACCTTGAAGAACTGAGCTCTGATGAAATTCCAGCTCCTAATGGGTTTCATGTTGCTCTATATGCCAGCAACAAGGAATGGCAATCGATTGCCCGCAGCGTAGCGCGGTCTTGTAGAAAAAAAAAATCATTTTAAAATTTTAAAATTTTTTAATTAATTTTTTCTAATGTTTTTTCATAAATTTCCTGCTTAAAAAAAAAAAAAATTGATTCTTCTTTATGGATTGACTTTAAAACAAAAATATTAATCAAGAATTAAAAAAATTAAATATATATTTTTCATAATATTGTATTCTAAAAAATAAAGTTATAATTAATGACCAAACTTTTATAAAAATTAACAAATAAAAAAGAATTTTTAATTTAATTTTCTGTTTAAGATGAAAAGATTAATTTTTGAAATATCTTTTCTAGCTTCTTACTTGTTTCTACCCGATAGTCTGATCAAAACATTACATAAAGTTCCAATTTAGAAAAAACGTCTCAATAAAATTTCTATATACAGATATCGTAATAAAGTATATAATTGCTGAACCACAACCAAATTAAGGAACCATAAACAAAAAACTATATGTAAATGGTACCCTAGCCATTTGTACGAATTTGTAATAATGAAAATGCCAAATACATAGGCATAAAAGAAATATTTATAGTAATTTCTTGCATGATAAAGTACACCACCATTCCAGTAAATAAATAATGCGTTAAACTTGAGAATTCTTGCCTTTAAACTTAGCATGCCCAAACATTCTATCCGGGTTAAGCATTTTTATAGCTACTGGGGGTGATGAAGGAAACCTTTATAAATGCTTCCCGTACCCATCTTCTCCAATCTTCAATGATGGCCCAAAATAGCGAGCTGTTTCCTGAATCTAGAACAAAGAGAAGCTGATGCATATGCATGCCTGAGGCATCTTCTGCTGCTTTTCCAAAAGCTCCTTAACTAACTCATCTCTTTCTTGCTTGTATTCCTTGCATTGTTCCTCAGAAGCAATTATTTCATCTCCCAAATCTTTTATCTTCTTATCAAAGTTTGAAAGATATCTCTTGCAGTAATCCTTGAATTTTTTCCTTCCAATGCATTAGTCTTAATCCTGATTCATGAAGATAAGACGCAAAATGACAATGAAAATAGTGACATGCAACATATTGAAAAGATTAGCTTAATTGCTTACCTATGCTTTATTTATCATCATCACTATATGCCCATCATAAAACTCCAATTTGCATTTGAATTTGGTAATCCAAATGTTTCTTCAGTTTTTTCATTAAAGTCTGCAAAACGATCAAGAAAATTACTCGAATTTATAGTTTTTCACTCAAATACAAATGCACCTAGATGAGAGTGCCTTAAAACAAAAATAAATTGGGGACACAAATTGTGCTGCAAGAGAATTTGAAGCTTTGTCTAAAAAGAATCCATATTTGCTAGATCTTAAGAGAAATAGTTATATCTTGATCTTCCAAATATAATTTTTTTATGAGTATTTCATAAATTTTTCTTTTATCAGAACCAAAGAAAATAAAAATACATAGGACACCTTAAAAGTCCTGCAAATAAAATAAGGCAGCGATGACACAACAACAAATTTTTTAGAAAACAAAAAAAAACTAAGCTTATGAGCCTCAAGAGTAACCCCTGTAAAACAAAGAAAATAATAATCCAGGTTAGTTGTTAATAGAAGACACAAAAAGCAATCCTGGCTTAGACATGAACTGAAATGTAAGAATCTCATTTTCTCGATCAAAGAACACCTCCACACCTTCACCATAGATCCCGACTACAACCTTCCATGACATATCCTGTGTCTTTGTTGGCTACTTTATTTGGAAAACTCATTGGCCATTGCACCCTTTAAAGGGATCACCTCTAAAGAATTCGCATCAGCCACATCTTCCCATTTGGATGCCAACGATTTCAAAATCTCCTTTGGCTCTCTCGGTATCTGATATCCTTTATTGTTTACAGGATTTTCTACAGCACCCATTACCAAAAAATTCCACACAACAGGCCCGATTAAAATAAAAACCACTCCAGTAACCAAATTTCTTGATCTGAAAACACAGTGAAACAAAAAATACAAATCAGCAAGGGCAATTAACTTCCTTTTTAAAAGGATGGTAATAATATGAGCCTCGAGAGCAACCCCTGAAAAATAAAGAAAACAATAATCCAGCTAAATAAAAAAAGCAAAAGGACAAACAAAGATGAGGATGATAATAAAACCCACGCCATTCATAGTAGATGAGCATCGCAGATAGTGTGAACAATACAAACCAGAAGCAAAAAAAAAAAGCAGAGTTAGAATAGGCCCAAGAAGAAATGATGCAAAAATCCCAATCTGTTTCGAATCGAACGAAATCCAAGCGAAAAGGGTTCAGTAGGGAACGGGATTGAGCAACAATAGAAGAACCCGAACAATATTGTGAAGAATATGCAACAATCCAGTCTGAAAACACAATCACTTGGCCCCTCATTCCACCAAGTTGCTCTGTAAAGAAAAGCGTTGGAAAAGAAGCAGAAAGAAAAAGAAGGCAAAAGAAATATAATTGTACAATAGCTTTTAACTAGTTTTATTTTTTTCCCCGCGCTGCTATACGGGTTAAATAAAATATATAAAATTATTTAAAAAATTATTTAATTTGATTATTTATTTTATAGTGTGAATCCATATAAATATATGAAATAAAAAATATAAAAAATTATTTAATAAAAAATTTTATATTTAACTATTTCTTATTTGTGTTTTTCATAATTTTCTCTTTATAAAGAGGATTCATCCTTGTTAATCCATGGATTATTAACTAAATAAATAAATAATTTTTTTTAAGAAAAAGCTTTAGTATTTCATAAGATTGTGTCAAAAAATATAAATAACAATTATTAAAAGCTTACATAGAATTGAAAAAATAATTTTTTTATTTAATGTTGATGAGAATATCGATTTTTGAAAAAATTATAAACTTAATTTTTATATATTTATTTACAAAAGAATGAATAATATTAAAACAAAAAACTATATTAATTTGAATCAATGAGTGGTTAAGCAAAAACATTATTTTAATTATTTAATTTAAAATAAGTTAATTTTAAAATATAAATAAATAAATAGTAAATGCTTAGCATAGTAGTAGTTGTACAGTTAATTTCTAAAAAAATAACGATTCAATATTTTTTTATACATCATAACTATACTAAGCGAGTTTAGAATTTTCAGTCTAAAACAAAAAATACTATAAAAAGTTAACTTATAAGGAATATATTGACTAAATTTGAAGTTAATAAACTAAAATAAAAATTATATCAAATTTGATTTCAAATAATTTTGATTATATAAAGAAGAAACAAATTAATAAAACATGTAAATTCTTTTTTTTCCTCCTTCTTAAATATTTTTTTATTTCTATGTTATGCATGGCTAGTCCTTGAATATAGGCCTCAAACACAGAGCAACCATCTTCTTTTTATTTTTCACATTTGACTTTTAACTATTAATTAATTAATTTGAGTTTTTTTCTAAAACGAGATAGAAGAAAAATTATTTGAAATACACTTTTGATCTAAAAAAGTATTTTAGACAAATTAAAGCAAAAAAATTATTTTAATTATTTAATTTAAAATAAGTTAATTTTAAAATATTCACAAACAAATAAATAACTAGTAAATGCTTAGTATAGTAGTAGTTGCATAGTTGATTTCTAAAAAATAATGATTCAATATTTTTTTATGCATCATAACTATACTAAACGAGTTTAGAGTTTTCAGTCTAAAACAAAAAATATTATAAAAAGTTAACTTTTAAGGAATATATTGACTAAATTTGAAGTTAATAGAAAAAAATAAAAATTATATCAAATTTGATTTCAAATAATTTTGATTATATAAAGAAGAAACAAATTAATAAAACATGTGAATTCTTTTTTCTTTTTTTTCCTCCTTAAATATTTTTTTATTTCTATGTTATGCATTGCTAATCCTTGAATATAGGCCTCAAACACAGAGCAATCATCTTCTTTTTATTTTTTATATTTGACTTTCAGTTATTAATTAATTAATTTGAGTTTTTTCTAAAAAATTATTTAAAATACACTTTTGATCTAAAAAGTATTTTAGAAAAATTATATACATCAATCATGCTATTATAATTTAAAAGCTATCTAAATCTATTTTCCAAAAGAAAAAATAATCATGTTCTAAAAATTTTTACCAAAATCCATACATATAGAAAAATAAATCAAAACCGTTAGTAAATATAATTTTAAATTCATTGGATGAGAATTTTAAAAAAAATGACAAATTAAAGTAGTAAATTTTAAATAATAAAAATAATTAACAACAAATATGAAAAAAAAATGGAACAAAATCACAATATAATGAAAGTTTGAAATTGAAAAAAGAATAAGAGAATTTAAAAAAACATTAATGTAGTAAATTTTAAATAATAAAAAAACTGAGAAACAATTATTTGAAAAATAATTTTAATTTAAAAACATATTTCGGACGAATTATATATATTAATTATGCCATTATAATTTAAAAAGTATCTAAATCTATTTTTCAAAAAAAAATAATCATGTTCTAAAAATTTATTCCAAAATCCATACATATAGAAAAATAAATCAAAACTGTCAACAAATATAATTTTAAATTAATTAGATGAGAATTTTAAAAAAATAAAAAATTAAAGTAGCAAATTTTAAATAATAAAAATAATTAACAAAAAAAAAACTAAAACAAAATGGGACAAAATCACAATATAATCAAAGTTTGAAATTGAAAAAAAAAAAAGAAGAGAATTTAAAAAAATTAAAAATTAATGTAGTAAATTTTAAATAATATAAAAAGGAGAAAAAATTATATTTAAAATAAACTTTTAATCTAAACATGTATTTTAGATAAATTGTATATATTAATCATGCCACTGTAATTTAAAAATGATCTAAATCTATTTTTCAATAGAAAAAATAATCATATACTAAAAATTTATTCCAAAATCCATACATATAGAAAAATAAATGAAAATTGTCAGGTAAATATAATTTTAAATTAATCGATGAGAATTTAAAAAAAAAAGATAAATTAAAGTAGTAAATTTCAAATAATAAAAATAATTAACAAAAAATATTAAAATAAAATGGGACCAAATTAAAATATAATTAAAGTTTGAAATTGAAAAAAAAAAAGAGAATTTAAAAAAATGATAAATTAAAGTAGTAAATTTTAAGTAATAAAAATAATTAACAAATTAAAGTTTGAAATTGAAAAAAAAAGAATTAAAAAAATGCTAAATTAAAATAATAAATTTTAAATAATAATTATAATTAATAGAAAAAACTAAAATAAAATGGAACCAAATCACAATATAATTAAAGTTTGAAATTGAAAAACAAAGTTTACAGAATTTGAGGACCAAAGTGTTAAAAAATGACATAAATAGTGAAAGAAATAGTATTTATGAGTGTGTGAATAGTGATTTATGAGTGTATAAATAATATTTTAAATAGTAAAATGAATAATAAAATTATGTTTTATTTTAATTTGTTTTATAACGTGTACGACTGATTGATGAAGAGAACAGTCGAATGAAATCAGAAAAAGGCAAAAGAAATACATATTTGATGCAACGAGGAGGGCTGAGCTATCAATAAAGGAAAAGACTAAAATATGATAGAAAAGAAACTGATGAGAAATAAACCTTCAAGGGCAAAAGGGTAAATCAACAAATATGAATGGCAAAAGAGGAGTTAAGAAGAATTAAGGAGGGCAGACTATAAAGCAGCAAACATGTGGATGAGATGAAAAACAAATCCAAAATGGACGAGAGATATTAAATGAAACCTTCTAACAGTAGACATGAGTCATGATAAATAGGACTTTTGTATCACAATGTACAATAAGTGAATAGGATAATCTCAATTCTTTTAGTTTCTTCGTAATTAGTTAGATATCTGCTCTATGCTACGATCGAATAACTGTTATATACATAAAGTCAACGATTCATATGATATAATACGGATAAAAATCTTATACATATTTATTAATATAAATAAAATATAAATAAAATATATTTGCTTGAGCAAAATCATTTGATTTATACATATTTATTAACAAAATAATCAATAATATTAGTATAAAAAATTATATTTGAATAATTGAAAAGTTCTTCTAAAACATTATTTCAATTATTTTATTTAAAAAATACTGATTTTAGAACATAAAAAGAAATAAATAATTAATAATTAATGTTATGTATGTAAATACATAATTAATTTTCAATATATATATTATGATCATATTTAGTAGGTTTGGAATATATAGTATAAACAATTTTTTTTAAAAAAAAAACCATCTAAAGTGTATGGAATATATTAAAATCAATAATTTGAAATAAAAAATATTACAAAATTGATTTCCATAAAATTTTAATTTATGACGAAAGAGATTCTTGAATTGCAAATTAAATTATAAATTAGTTCATCTCATTTTGAGAAATGAATCAATTAATTCTTTTAGTTTCAAAAATAAATTATTTAATTTTTAATCGGTATTGATCATAAATAATTTATTTTTTTATTTTATAAAATATCTATTTTCATATTTTACTTATTTTTGGTTTTTTTTCTAAGATCGTTTTTTTAATCTTCCAATTTACCTTTTTTCTTAATTCGAAATAGTGGTCCTAAAAAGTAAAAAGAAATGAAGTCTCTATTTACTTGCTTTTATGAATCATTGAAATTTATTTGTACCTCTCTCTTTCCAATTCCTTATCTCAAAAACCATCTCTACCTCCCTTTGCTACATTTATTTTTATTTTTCTCATTTCTTTTTTCATCCACATTAATCTATACAATTATGAGAATGACTAAGGATTACTAAAATAATCCAACATACGATTTCATGGTCTCTTTATCAAATACTAAGATCCTTTTGATTGAATGAAATAATTTTCTTCAAAAAAATAAATTTTTTTTTCATATTTTACTTACTTTTTTGTTTTTTTTTCTCTTTCTTAAAAAAATAAATAAAAACAGTAAAATGGTAAAAAGGATAAAAAAATTAGTTTTCAAACCAAATGGACTAATTAATTTATTTCTCAAAGAAAGAGGGACCAAGAAGCAATAAAGAAATGTATGAATATGGACATTGAGTGAGGAGTTACGGTAAGTGAATAGTCTCACTTTCACTTCTTTTATTATTTTTTTTAATAACTAGTTAGATACTTGCATTATGTTGTGGTCGGACAATGATTATATATGTAAGGTTAACGATTCGTACGAGTGTGATGCGAGTAGAACCTTTGTTTACGGAGAATAATGTAAATCTAATTTATATATTAAGCGAACTTGTTTGATATATATATCTATTAACAAAATAATTTATAATATTGGTATAAAAAACTTGTATTTGAATAATTAAGAGGTTCTTTCAAAACATTAATTAAATTATTTTATTTAAAAACATAGATTTTAGAACATGAAAAAAATAAATAACAAATAATTGATGTTATGTGTGCGGATATAATTAATTTATAAGAAAACTACTATATATGTATTGTAATTAGCAGATTCACAATATATAGAATAAATAAAAAATACCAAAAAAACCACTCGAAATCCTATAAAATATATCAAAGTGAATAGATTTAAATAAAAACTATTATAAAATTAGTTTCGATAAATTCGATAATATATATAAAACCCAAATAAAACCTATGACCCACTCGAAATCACATAAAATATATCTAAGTGAATATATTTAAATGAAAACTATTATAAAATTAGTTTCGATAAATTCCGATTATATATACATATAAAATAAAACCCGTGAATTTTTTAACTAATTATTAATTTTTTTAAAAAATATTGAGTCAAATTATTTTTAAAAAAATTAAGTCAAATTATCTAAAACACACTATTAGCTCCTCTCATTAGAATTTATATATACAACTACGCCATTCTTATTTAAAAATCATAAAAATAATCAATTATATAAATTATAATAATATATTTTAAAAAATAAAATAATTACGTTCTTAAATTTTATTTCAAAATCAATATACAAAAAAATCACATTTATTAACAAATAAAATTATAAAAAAATTAATTTGATGATAATTTTAACAAGAAGCAAACAATTGAAGAAATAAATTTTAAATAATAAAAAAATATAATCAGATATATATGTTGAAACTAAAATCTTAAAAAAAATATCATATATATTCTATTATCATCAAATTGAACGTAAAATTAAAAAAGAAGATTTTTTTATATTTTTACACCTAATTTCATGATAAAAAATATAAAATAAATTATTAGATGAAAAAAAGAAGACAAACAGGACTGCTTGTGCAGGCTAGGCCTGCCTAAGCTTGCTGCCAGGCTCGGCTGAGCCTGCTTCTCCAGCAGGCCAACCTTTTTTTTTCTAAAAAAAAAAAGAAAAGAAAACAGTAACCATCTCAGATTGTTTGTTACTATTTTCTTCTTTTTGTTTTTTTTGCGGGGGAACCTAAGAAGGTGAAATAGTGTAAAACGACTTTCTGATCATAATTTCAGCAGGCCTTTTTAGTTCTTGGTCTAATCATCCTGTTACGATTTGCTTGTCCACTTTCCTTAGTTGGACTCAAGTTGATATCGTTGACTGGATCTCCTGCAAGTTTGAGTTAGGCTGTTCTATGTAGCCATCTAGGATCTAAGCATACAAAGTTCAAATCATTTTTTGTAATTCTTGCCCAATGTCTATAGTCCTTTACAGTCGGGGCCAATCATTTGTTTATGGATTCACTTACACTGTTACGTGGAAGCTAAGCTGTGCTCAGTGTCCAACTACATACTAGGCTTCAAAATTGGGCTCTATCAGGGCTTTAGAGTCAGTGAAACGTAGGGTCAATTGGCTGGCCTACCCCGTGTGTTTTTCTGATTGTAGATTGGATTACGCTTGAATCTTGATGGCATTCTTTTTAACAGTTCCCACCACTAGTTTTTCAAGAACCCAATCCCGTTTCATCACTTTCAAAGTTCTGGCAGTGGACATGAACTCGTTGGCATTTTCAATTGGGAATTACACTCCCAGAAACCTCAGCACACCCAATACAACACTGCTCATTAAGAATCTTGACACAACAAAAGCATCGACTATCAAATTCTCAAGCCACCACCTAGAAAACTTTTCTCAACAGCCTCAGCTGAAAGAAACCCAAAGTGTTTTCAATAGAAGAGAAGCAATTGGTCTTGGCTTCTGCGCAAGCTTTCTTGATGTTCTCTTGCAACAAGAGCTCCCTGCAAAAGCAGAAGAAGCTCCATGTGAACTAACAGTTGCTCCTTCAGGTCTTGCTTTCTGTGACAAAATTGTGGGAACTGGCCCTGAGGCTGTCAAGGGACAACTCATTAAGGTAATCATGACATTCATTCCTTCTGTTTAACTAGTTCACTAGTTCAAAAGAACAGTAGATATCCAAAATCGTTAATTGTGTCCGTAAGTTTTTGTGGGCAGGCAGCATTATCACAATATTTTTAATTGTATACCATTAAATTTGAACTGTAACATCCATTTTTGAAGCTTAGCCATTGAGTAACATTAAAGAATGAGCGAGATATATATGTCCGACATTTGCAGTTTTTATATGCTTACCCGGACACTTGATTATGTGGATGAACGAATGCACAGGCGCATTATGTCGGGAAATTGGAGAGTGGTAAGATTTTCGATAGCAGCTACAATCGTGGGAAGCCTCTCACGTTTCGAGTTGGGGTTGGCGAGGTATGCATATGCCGATATAATTTCTTAAAACTTTATGCTGTGCAGAATCAAATGATTAATCAATTTATATCTTGGAAATGAAATTCTGAATTTGGGCTAAGTACATCACATATCTAATGTCTGGGAATATGAAATTAATTTCCTTGTCACGGCTTTTTCCCTTTAGTACTTTATTTTGATTTGTTAATTCAAGATGGAACCTTTTTTGGAAATTTCTCATTTTCAAGGGTATGAACTGGAGTCCTTTAAAATCATAAAACTGATTGGAATGGTTGCTCAACGGTTAGACAGGCAGGAATTTTTCATAAGTTGGTTTGCATTGTGTTATGGCCACAAACAAAGGCGACTTCGGTTTTAGATGATTAATTTTCTAAATAACTCAGAGCTCCATTACAAATAGGTCATCAGAGGCTGGGACCAAGGTATTCTAGGTGGTGATGGAATTCCTCCTATGCTAGCTGGTATGAGCAAACACATAAAACACACTGTTTTTCTTGTTGTATTTTGAATGTTTGACATCAACTATGTAGCTTTGTTCTCTTTGATGGATTTTAGGGGAAAGCGTAAATTGAAGCTCCCTCCAGAATTGGCATATGGCGTGAGAGGGGCTGGTTGCAAAGGAGGTAACTAGCATCCCCTTTGGTTGACAAACACTTTACAACTAGATATAATATTGTACTTATCAGACAAAGATATCAAAACGTAGCATTCGTTATGTTTTCCTATATCTTGTTTTTTTTTTTGGTTGATGGTATTTGGGGTGTTGAAAAAGAGAATTCTAATTGGTTACATAACTGCAGGGTCTTGTATCATTCCTCCAGATTCAGTTCTGTTATTCGATGTAGAGTTCATTGGAAAGGTTTGAGAGTTGAAGCTTTGATCCTGGTCAACTGCGTTTTGAATTGTGACGATGATTAATTACATATTGTTCTTGGTTCATGGATTTTAATATCAGTTTGAGATGATTCCTTTAGATGGAATTAAAATATGTGTAACTCTGAGGATGAATAGCTTTGAAGGTTGTATTTGATAGTAGGTCCATGTGCATATTGATTTCAGCAATTAATCAGGAAGTTGCATGAGAATTTGGTCGAGTTTAACTTATATATCGAAGGCTTTCTTTGTTTAATATTTTATCTTCTTTTCAATATTATGAAGTTTTTTAAGATCAAAATGTCAATTTTTTTTAACTAGTTTTTGCTTTTAAAAAATTAAAAATCAATTTAAATTGAATATATAAACACACGTGGAACATCCGACAAATAAATAAAAAATATTATAAATAGCGCTATAGACGAAGGGTTTTAATTATAATTTATTTTCTTAATCGTATTAATGATAAATAGACCCGACTGATCAAATCTCAGTAGCAGAGGACGTCAAGCGTAATTAACGGAGCTCTATGGACAGCTCTAATGAGACCACTTGTAACCTAAAAAAAGAAATAATAATAATAATAATAAAGAGCTGAGATCATTCGAAGTTTTGTGCAAGAAAATCCTAACCCGGGAATAGAAATATTAATCCACGCAACCAAACATTCCCTACTTGTGTCGCCGATTAAATTCACTCAAACCTACAAAACCCTAGCAGCCCCAAAGCTAAGCCAGCAAGAACCTCAACAGCCAAAGCAAAGCTTTCTTCGAAAAAATAAAGAAAGATGGCGAAATCGATGAGATCGAAGAGAGAGAAGAGGCTGAGAGCAATAAGGAGAGATTTAGTACAACCCATTTACGACAAGAAAGATGAAGCCAAGCTTGCTGCCTTAGAAGCTGCCCTCGCTGCTCCCAAGCTTCCAGTTAAAACCTCTCCATTCGCTTCCTCTTCTTCTTCTGCTGCGGACACAACGACAGCAACCACCACTACAAATACTCAAATGGGTATGTGTAGTTTTCTTTGGTTTCCTCCCTCTCTTACTACTATGATATGTTGTGTCTTTGTTCGCTTTTCTCCTTAGGTTGATACATATTTGTTTGGAACTTGATTTAATGACTATATTATCATTGTTGAATACTGAAATTTGATAATTGATGTATGCTTTATGCCAATTCGTATTAGTAGTGCAAAAATCAGTATTTATAGTAGCGCTCAAAGTTCTCTCCGTGCTTAATAGTTAATTCTTTAATCCTCTTTTGGGTTTTGTATCTATACTGCATCTCAATACCAAGGGATATAGAATCGAACTATATATATATATGTACGTGGCTTCTAAATTCTTCCTGGAATAAGTACATTGTTATTGCCTTTGATGGTTAACTCTTTATAAGTAGCTGAGGAGGGCTCCAAGGTGTTTCTAAGCTTAATTATTAGACCCTCATTTAGGTTTTGTACTTTTGATCGTCTCTTTCACATTGTTTGGTTGTTGATTTAGGAGTTTTGTGTGTTTTGTTTTCCCTCCCTGGCAAGATGAGGAAGGGACTGTGATGATTTCAGTGTGAAAGGTCTCGTTCGTCGTAATTGGCTTTGACAGGCCTTGACGACCATCCATATTCTGAGTCCCTTTCACTTTCTTTCTTTTTTTTTGTGGATTTTTATTTTACTATAGCAGCTGATTGGCTGATGATTAGACAAACATCAAAGACAAGCATGTGTCTGAAATTATGTGTTGACCAATCTAATCTTCTCTATGAAGCCAATCTCTAGTAGTATATCGATATTTACTTTTTATTTGGTCATTTTGGTTATGAGGAAAATTAGTTTTGTTTTTTGGCCTGGTTGTTCATGTGTTTTACAGAAGGCTTTTTATTCTTGCTGTTTTTAGAGGTGCTTCAATAAATAAAATCTTGTTTTTCTAATCTATGTAGACCGTTTGAAAGGTAGATTGACACAATTGGGCCATATAATGATTGTAAGCATAGTTCAACTGATAATTTCTGTGATTATTGAAACTGCACTTTTGTTGCATACAAGTAGATTTCTTTTTTAACAATGTTAGAATTGACCCTTTTGTTCTAAAAGTTCAATTGATGATCTTACAGATTTTCTAGTTTCTCTTGTTTGTGATTCTCACTCGTTCTTTTTCCTCCTTTTCGAAGTTTATTACAACCAGCAATAGATTGATATCTCATCTGTCCAAAGTAATTCTATGAGTCACCAACTGCATCTTTTTTGTTGGTTGCACGTACAAATTTCAAATATAATGACTTTGATCTTTGTTTGGCCCTGCAACAGATATGATGGAAATGGACGGAGAGAATCAAACTAAGAGGTCATTGAAGCCAATAGGGAAGAAGCTAAAAAAGAAGCTGAAGCTGGCAAAAAAGAAGAGCCATGGAAAGGGGAGGATCAAGAGGAGAAATATATAACAGATAAACTTATAATGCTATTGACATTTTCTTCTCGCTGTCTTTATGTCCCAAATTTAGTTGAGGCTGTTGTATTACATTCCGATAATCGTGTCTTTGAGATTTTATTTTCATTTGGAAGGTGCTGATCTTGGAGGGCAGGTGCCATGAAATCATCCCTCCCCCCAAAAAGAGTTTGTTCAAATGCTCCATCACAATTTCCAAGTATAGTTTTAAATCATGGACGATTGAAAAAACGATAGTGGTGCAGGTAGCGGCATGATCTGAAACCGTTACATAACGGATGTTATATAATGCTATGGTTGTTATTTAAAACTATAGGCTCAATTACATGGATCATCCCATAAGATGGCATGCTATCTTAAATGAACGCAGAAATTGTTGGAGATTGGCTATGCTGCAAACAAGTTAAATTTGATTGATTTCAATTCTTGCTGCGGTGGCTGCTTTCGGCCGTTGTGAATGTGTTCCTTGCCATGTCCTGTATGGAACACGAATGACGAAGGGTCTAGGGTAGTCTCATTGACTCCATTGTTCTTTTCATATTTGATGCCTGATTCTCTGTTGACGTTGGAGGTAGAGGGTTTTATTTCTTATAAGAGCTTGTTGTACAGTTCCATTCCATCTTAGCATTTTAAGATCTAGGTTATGTGCTCGTGAAATGGTCGAACCTGAGAACAACGAGGTCTAACAGACGAAAAAGAACACAGGTATTTCCCGTTGGGTTCATGCAACACAGGGCTAGTCATTAGGGCGGGTTGGGTCCTCCATTTGCGTACACATCCTGAACTCTTCTTATAGAGGAACATGGGCCTGTTCTTAGCCCAAGCTTTGGGGGTATGGGCTGTATATTTTTTTCCCCTGTAAGAGTATTCCAAATTCAAACATTTAGACTAAATTCTTACTTTTTTATTGGGTGTGTAATACAAGCACATCTATCTAAAATTTTTTTTACATAAATAAAACTCGAATTTGAGATAATTTATTTAAATAATTAATTTTTTTTTCATTTAAGCTAAACTTCTTGTGTATTTGACATATTTCTTTAGAGTAACTCAAATAAACAGAGATTTCGAATCAATATATAACATATGATTTTGGCATGATACAGATATTCTTAGTTTCATAGTCATGGCTTTATAATATGGAGATGGAAAAAGGATTTGTCATTTCTCCTTTTGAATGAGAAAATAAAACGGACGCTTAACGGCATTATTGGATAACATCTCTCTTTTGGCTTTCTCCTTAATTCAATTTGCATAACAAGTATTTACGAATTTCAACTGGATTATACATCAAATTCATTAAGGTCAACTGCTGGCTGGGTAAGGCGTGATGTAGACCGTGTTTTAAACTAGTCGATTAGTTGAATAAACTAAGCTTGTCATGATATTATCAAATTTAATACTACGTGCAGTCCTTTTGTTAGTATTAAGTCCTTATTTTAAGAAATTCAGACATATGACTTAACCGACCCTGTCACCAATTTGGAATTGTTGTGCCTCAGTACCCAATGAATTTGTATTTTGACCGGTAAATATGAGCAATATATATATATATATATGTGTGTGTGTGTGTGAGAGTCTATCATGCATACTTAAATCATATTTAACGGCCAGTAGACAATATATCAATATGCTATTTTTTTGAAAATATTAGGTGAGCAACCTTGTCTATATATATATATATATATATATATATATAAGGATGTTATACTTTAATGTCATAGATACATTATTGAAAAATACGTTTTTGTATATGGACACATGTTCTGTATATAGTTTTTACTATTGATAAAATGTATCAATAAATAATTTAAATTCGTGAAATGTTATAAATATAGAGAATTTGTTATCACTAGACTAAGAGTCTAATATTACTTGAGCTTATTACTCCATCAATTTTGATCGCTGGAATGAACTAAATTCCACCAGCAAAATCCAAAATCCATATGATATAAATACATCTACGAACTACTGATTTTTTTAAATATTCGAAATGACATTATTTTATATATTATAGTTATCTAATGACATAACTGTAATTATTAAATTAAATAACTGATAAAATATCAATTGCATTATGACGGTTTAATTACTTAATAAAAAAAATTAAGTATATCTAACATTATCATTGTCTTTTGGGTAATGTTACGTCCTAAGAACAGGTTACCTTAACCGGTTCTATAAGTGAATTGTCCTTTAGGCGTGTTCAAAGGGGACTTGATAGATACAGGACAGTACTACGAGGAAGAATGGAATAGCCGTTCGAGACAAGTGCACGTTTAACTTGAAATTTAGTTGCAAATTGACTTACATTCACTAGCTGACCCCTCCAGTGTGGGAGGTGATTGATTCAAGCGTTTTATATTCTCTAACCCTTGAAACGCGCAACTTGCCTTGTAAGTTGGGGTATACTTCTGTGATTTGTTCTTTTTTTCCCTGCGTTTCACTATCCGAGAAAAGGACTTCAACCCCTTGTTTGGATAATTGCTCTTAAGAGAAAAGAAAAGAGAGGAAAGAAAGTGAGACGAAAGAAAAAGAAGAGAAAAAAAATATTTTTTACTTGTTGTTTGAATAAAAGTGAAAAGAAAAGAAAAGAAAATACATTTCCCTTGTTTGGATAATTGTAAAAAGAGAAAGGAAAAAAAAATTATATATTTACTATAATGTCCTTAGGATTATATTTTTATATTTTTATTATAATCATAATTATTCACATTATAAATATAAAAATTATTTTTGATATTTATAGTTGATTGAAAAAATTAATCAGAATTCACAATAATAACATTAAATAAACATATTATAGAATCACATCAGCGAGTCTCCGATTAAAAACCCAAAAATCGGCTTTTTAAATAAGATTTTTTTAGCTTTATCTCCGTAATATTTGGAACAATTGTGCCAAGAATTGCTTTAACCCTCACTTGTGAATAGAGATTACAAAAACAATTATATAATAATCATAATAAATAAATAAATAAGAGTGTCAACTATACATGTGTGTGTGTTTTCTCCTTTCAAACAATAAATCCATTTTAGCACATAGATTGTCTAAACACAACATAGGATTCATTCCAAACAATAAATCAAAAGACTAGATTCAAGGGTATGAGATATCTAAATAAACGAAATCAAGCCCAACTAAATTGATCCACTCCCATTAGCTTAACCTTAATCACCTGCCAAGCAAAGAGAAGGGATGAGGGTCTCTTTCAACCGTCAATCTTGTCTAAGTTTTTTTTTTTTCCTTGATTTGATATTAAGACCTGCAAATTAACTTGAACATCCAAAACTCATCTCCGATCATGTATCTCATTTTCCATTAGTAATTCATACAATAAAGACTCGCATGTTGGGGAGGTGCCCAAACTCGCCTAAAAAAATAGTCGGCATCACGACTGCCATGAAATTGTCATTAATTATAGAGGTCCACGATTACAAACACCATCATTCGTTGGACCCGTGATAAGAGTTTCAGCCATCACAAACCCGGAAAATAACCAAACAAAACACAAACTTCCCAAAAAAAAAAAAACACCACAACAGATTTGAAACTCTTCTTCAAACCATTAGTGTCCATTAAAAAGCATAAGGGTTGTTTTGTTAACGGATTCGGCGAGAGAGAGGGAGTGGGTTTGCGAGAGGCGAGGCGAGATCGGCCGAGAAACGAAGGGAACGGCGAGCAACGGCGGAAATGGAAGATGGGTTTGCGGGGATTCGATGATGGGCTATTGATAAGCGAGAGCGAGAGAGTGGATTTACGCGAGACGAGATGGGCGGGGAAGAGAAAGAAAAGGAACGCCGGACAAGGGTGTAAGCGAAACAAAATAAAAATAAATCAGTTTCCTTCCGTTTTTCTTCCTATTTCCTCTCAATTTTGAGAGGAAAATAGGTCCCACCACTTATAGATTTGTTTAATATTTTTTTTCTTTCCACAGCTTTCTTTTGCAAACCAAACGAGGAACATTTTCATTTCCTTCCTATTTTCTTTCCTCTCCCTCACTTTCCACCCTATCCAAACAAGGGGTAAATGTAGAAATACGGATATGGGTCATTTTTAATTACTGAACTTCATACCTTCAAGATCTTTATTAAATAGTTAAAAACGTTTGTTGTATTTTTTTTAATTAAAATATTTAGAATAACCTATTCCAGTAAACTAATATACAAAATACACCTTTAAAACTATTAAAAAATAATATATATTTATTTATTAACGTTATCATTTGAAAATATTCTTTACTTTGTATCAATTAAAAAAAAAACATATACAGTACAGTTTATCCAACCAATTAATTTTTTTTTCAAATTAACCTTTGACAGGGTGTTTTATTAATATTGAGACACACTAACTTTTTACATATCTATTCTAACCCCCCGCCCAAAAAAATAAAAACAAAAACTTTTTGCATAAATTGGATAGGAAAACTAGAAGAGAATGTTAGTTTTGTTATTCTTTCAATAATTGAATCTTTCTTTTATCCTAGTCCTAGAGGGTTGATATTAAGCAAATTGTTGGCGTAAAAGAACTCAATCAATACTAATATTAGTAGAGGGACTAAAATAAATGTTTTTTAGTAGTACAATGACGATTGGAATCATCAACTCGTTTGTTTCAAGGAGTAGCATAGTATTTTTCTTCTTTTTTTACTCCACTCAATCCTCATCCATCGTAATTGAACAGAGTTACAGGAAATTTCTAAAAAATAAATAAACAAATAACAAGGGACAATCGCATTCCTCCCACGTTCATTAAACCGTCCAAGTGGGATTAAACTGGTAAGATCGAAAGTACCATCCCTCAGCAAACTTCTGCTTTTATTTTATTTAAAGTTACACATATTTGGTACATAGATATAATACTCGCACATTAATTAATTAATCAATTAAGAACAAATTTCTAAAAATCCCATCCCAATTTCGCTTATAATTGAAGAAATCTTCAATCCAGCAACTAGAAAAATAAAAGAGAAGAACAACAATATTAATTTCCTTAGAAATAGCGTACAGATACTACTACTATTCAACATGTCTTTCTCTGTCTCCCATCACTCTCACTTCCAAGTGGCTGCACCCAATAGGAAAAGGTTGGTGGTTCTGCTGACTCCGTCCGCCCCCCCAACCCCACCTTTACGCCTTCAAGTCCCTCTCCCTTCGCTTTCCTCTCCTTCCACTCTCATGTCGTTCCCTTTACGTTAGAGTTATTTTCATTTTCATGCGATATACAAAGACTCCAAGTTAAAGTAAACGTACCCTTTAATTCACCAATAAATCTCTATGATCTCTCTCTCTTCTTCTCTAAAATACATTTTCATTTCATTTATTTAAATTAGCAAGAGAAAAGATTCCAACACCAAACTAAAAACTAAACTTGTAACCTCTCCACCTGTATACCGTTGCAAAGTCCACTCTTGTTCACGCCACACTTCCTCCCTGGCCATCTCCCTTCTCTCTCCTTCTCTCTTTCTTTCTTTCAATATTTCTCTCTGCTGCTTCTTATTCTTAATAAGATTCATACACCAGCTTGTAGCTAGAGTTGTATGAATATTCTTTCTTGATCATCATGGCGATGATCAATCGCATGGCTGCTTCTCTGAAGAAACTCGTGTCTTTGTGTCTTGTACTAACATTTCTAGGGGAGAGTTATGTGTTTGGACATTTTGTGGTAGAGAAGAGTAACTTAAGAGTGTTGTCTCCTATGAGTTTGAGATCAAAACATGACAGTGCAATCGGTAACTTTGGTGTACCAGATTACGGTGGCTATTTGGTTGGTTCTGTTGAGTATCCAGATAAAGGAGCTTATGGTTGTCATCCTTTCGATGGTGATAAGCCCTTCAAGTCTAGAGGCTCTCGCCCAACTATTCTACTTCTTGATCGTGGAGGTATAAATAGATTACTCACAGTTGTTCCCTTTCCTCTTCAGTTCGATCTGATAGATTGATGTTAAGCTTGAGTAAAGTTCATTTCTTTGTTAAGAATATTGATTCATGGATGTTTCTTTGACTTTGACTTCGACTTCAGTCTGTCTGCAATCCATCTCTTTGAATTATTTTTATGGATTTGCTAATTGGTTTGTTAACAATTTGATTAATTCTGTTATGGAGTAGCTAATAAACCTTATCTAAAATGGATTTGGTTCGGTTTTGCTCACAGACACAGCTCTCTCTCTCTCTCTCTTTCTTTCTTTCTCTTCAACTTTTTTATTTGCTTAACGAGACTAGTTTGTTAGGAATTTGATTGAAGGATCGCTAATTATGGAGTTAACGTCGATAGCTAATTGTTTTCTTTTGTTTTGTATTCAGTTTTTAGTAATGGATTGGGGTCTAGTTGTTTGCTTGATTGCACTTGATTTTATTTGAATTTGGTGAAAGTTATTGGGAAGATAATAGATTAATTTACGTTGTGGCTCTCGATGCTCTTCCATGTGTTTTGATTTAACCAATAATTCCACATTCATTGCAAAACTCCTCTGTTTTATACTCTTCCATTTTGCTCTCTGGCTTTAACGTATGGGTTGCATTCTGTTGACTTCTAGGTTCCTTCGGTTGACTATTTGATCTGGATGAACTAGGAGATAAGAAAAAAAAGAAGAGATTATTCTCACTGTTTGTTTGAGTTTTTGATAAAATATATATCAGTCACCATTGAACTAACACTATCTGTGTTTAATTATATATATATATACATATATATTTTCCATTTATTCTCTTTGTTCTTGCTTTCTCTAGGCTTCGGTATTTATAAATTGATGATGGTTTATTCATCTCATGAAAATTTAAACAGTGATAATTAGTTCTGCAAAACTTGAATTCATACAGTTGAATGAGTGATAAGATAAATCAAGCCCACTGTACTGCGTAATTGCTAGAGGATTGAGATTTCTGGAATAGATTATATTGATGAAATCATATGTTGATCTTTCTGTTTTCTTCGTCCAAACGTAGAATGCTACTTTGCCTTGAAGGCATGGAATGCTCAGCAAGCCGGAGCTGCAGCAGTGTTAGTGGCTGATAGTATAGATGAGCCTCTGATAACTATGGATTCTCCTGAGGAGAGCAACGATGCAGACGGGTATATAGAGAAGATTGGAATCCCATCAGCTTTGATAGAGAGGTCACTCGGAGAGAGCTTAAAGAAAGCCCTGAAGAATAAAGAAGATGTGGTGATAAAATTGGACTGGAGAGAGTCAGTCCCCCATCCTGATCAGAGAGTTGAGTATGAGCTTTGGACAAACAGCAATGACGAGTGCGGTGCTCGATGTGATGAACAGATGGATTTTGTGAAGAATTTCAAAGGCCATGCTCAGATCCTCGAGAGGGGGTTACACACTGTTTACTCCACACTATATTACTTGGTATTGTCCTCGGGCTTTCATTCTTAGCAGTCAATGCAAATCTCAGTGCATAAACCACGGGAGATACTGTGCTCCTGATCCAGAACATGATTTTGGGGCGGGATATCAGGGGAAGGACGTAGTTTTTGAGAACTTGAGGCAGCTCTGTGTCCATAGAGTTGCTAATGAGAGTGGAAGGTCTTGGGTTTGGTGGGATTATGTGACAGATTTCCATGTCAGGTGTTCTATGAAGAACAAGAGATACAGCAAAGAATGTGCTGAAGATGTTTTGAAATCACTTGGTGAGTTCTATTCTACAGTAATATTGTATTTACAGAATCCAGCTTCAATTGGCTTTCTAATGTCTATAATTAATCCAAAAAAATACAGATTTGCCTGTTGAGAAGATAAACAAATGCGTTGGTGATCCTGAAGCTGATGTGGAGAATGAAGTCCTCAAAACTGAGCAGGAACAGCAGGTCATACTTCACATTTGACTTTTCTGTTCCTGCAGTCCGATAGGCCTTTGCAGATTTCTTTTTCTAAACTAAAATACATTGCCCTTGATTGTCTACTCATATTTCTGTGTCTGGACATATATAGCACAGTTTGGCTGTCACCTTCTGAACTCAATTGTTTTTTTCTGGTTTGTGGAATTTAGGTGGGGAGAGGATCTCGTGGCGACATTACCATCTTGCCAACATTGGTGATTAATAATGTTCAATATCGAGGTTCGTATTTACTGACCATGCCATACTGTGTTGAACTGTATTAAAGTAGTGCAAGATTGTGTTCGAGCATGTTAAAGAGTTGGATTTACTATGTAGATCTGCCTTCTTCGAAATCTTTATCAAGCAAGCGGGTATCGATACTAAATTTAATTCACTGTTTCAATTTTGGATGTAGATCTTATAGATGACTTCTCATAATCCAAACCCCAGTTCAAGATTTGTTTGCTTTTAAATTGCATGCCATTTCTTTTTAACCTCTCCATTTTATATTTCTGCCCATTCTATTGACTTTAGGCCAATCATGATCTGCCGCGCCAGATCTTTCTTAGAAGCGTTTGTATATGTCTAGGGTTATTTAAGTTTGTCTCCTGTGGGTTTCTCTCATGTATCCTGCTGTCTAGTTAGGATATCTGCATTTACTTTTCCAAATTTGGCTGGTTATGACCTCCCTTCATTTTCCCAAAATCATTTTTAATTATTTACTTTTCACTTCATGGTTGTTTTCCCATATATAATGGCATTATGAATCCTTTTTATTAATTTTTAATTTTCTTTCTAAAGGAAAATTGGAGAGGGCTGCAGTGCTGAGGGCTATATGTTCTGGATTTAAGGAGACCACTGATCCTCCAGTTTGTTTAAGTTCAGGTTGATAGGCATATTTACTTTCACACTCACGATTGGTACCTTACATTTGGAAAAATTGCTGAATAATTATAATTTTACTCTCTCCTTTTCACCTTGATTTATACTGACAGAGCTTGAGACTAATGAGTGCCTTGAAAGGAATGGAGGCTGTTGGCAGGACAAACAATCTAACGCAACTGCTTGCAAGGTAATAATAATACATAAGAATTCCAATTTGATCTTTTTGATTGATCCCCATAGAAGTTGTTGCTTTCTCTTTGCTTTTCCTTTCACTAATGGTGCGATCTTGAATTTGTTCAGGACACATTTAGGGGAAGGGTGTGTGCGTGTCCAGTTGTGAACGGTGTTCAGTATGCAGGAGATGGTTATGTGTCTTGTAAAGGTTGGCTCTTTTCTCTAGTTATACATTCAGTGAGATTGGAAGTCAGTCCTTGTCGAAAAATTCCAGGGAAGGAATGACATCCTGTTTCTTCTGTTGTGTTATAAACCTTCTATCTATGTGAAATAGACTATGGTGCTCATTTATAAGCTACCCTCTTTATTCCTTTTGCAGCTATTGGACCTGGAAGGTGTTCGGTAGACAACGGAGGATGCTGGTCCGAAACAAAACATGGATTAAGTTTCTCAGCTTGCTCAGTTCAGTGATATTAACTTTCATCTCTGATTATACTAATCCTCTTCTCTATGCCTCTAGTTCTTTTTTCTAAATGTAATAACTACCTTGAACTTTTTTCTTTCCATCTTGACACATTTCCTTTCCATCCTGAGCAGGACTCCCAGTTATCTGGTTGCCGGTGCCCACAAGGATTTGAGGGGGATGGCCATACATGCACAGGTGCTTATCTTCTATCATGATGTGTGGCTATTAGAACAGTTACATTACATAACTCTCTATCTGCAACCTTTTTTTTGTTCTTGTGAAATATTTCTCTAATAATCTTTGCACCAGATATTGATGAATGTAAGGCGCGCACTGCTTGTCAATGTGATGGTTGCTCCTGTAAGGATAACTGGGGTGGATATGAGTGCAAATGTAAGGGGAACCTCATTTATATAAAGGAACAAGATGCTTGTATTGGTAAGAGAACAATCTCAAATCAATCAGCTATGTCATACAATTAAGTTTAAGTAAAACTGAAGTCATACTTGTCATCAATTATTTTCTGTCAGATATTTTAACCCTTCTTTGTCAATTGTGCAGAAAGAAGTGGATCCAAATTTGGATGGTTCCTTACCCTTCTGATCCTAGCTGTTGTGACTGGAGCTGGTGTTGCTGGTTATATGTTCTACAAATACAGGCTTCGGGTACTTCTATGTTCATACAATGAACCAGCGTTTTGTCCATCTTGGTTTATTAATTTGTATCTTTACTAGCAAGCAATACTATAATCATTCAACATTTTCTCTTTCCAATTGCAGTCTTACATGGACTCGGAGATTATGGCTATCATGTCACAATACATGCCACTTGACAACAACCAGAACAATGAAGCTCCAACTGAAGCCCAACCATTACGACATGGCACAACTGTGTAACGTAACAACTAACGAGTCCTTTTCTTTGTGGTTCAAGGGGGGGAGTCATTTTCTCTGTCATTGTCTAAATTTGGTGCTCAAATATTTCCGCAACCTAACTCCTTATGTTGCTTTTGATTCGCAGATACAAGAACTAAAGCAATCGGTCCTGCAAAGAATGATTCCATTAGAAGGGGCGGATTGTGTTTATACTGGATGTAAATTTGCATAACCAGTGGCAGCTCTTATACACAACAGAGAGAGGTCCAGTTCTTCTGCTACTATAGAAGTATACTTTTTAAAAAATTTTATAGAAGAATCTTGAGAGATTACCCTTTTGTATATAAAAATAGTCGAGAACATGTAGATGTTGCTTCAAAGATTAATAAGGACACGTAAAGGTGACAAATTAATACACATACGATGAAAGAATAAACAGATGAAGGATGTATATAAATGAGATGCTGCTTTGTATCGGTTTATTTAAGAACGTTAAGACCCTTCAACAATTTCTATGTGCAGAGCATACATGATGCTGTGTAAAAGAAAGTTCTATAGTATTTAATAGTAGTGGCTGTTCTCTGAAAATTGCCACTTTGATCTTGCCATATATGCACTTACAAACTGTTCCTTTGGCTGTATTATGAAGCTCAAATAATTAAGACCAAATCCAAATCACCCTTGCCTGTGACATAAATTAACAGCAAATAATTAAGGCTGTGTTTGTTTGAAAGAAAATAAATTCAATTATAAGAACTTGTTTTTTCTATTTTCTCTCATTTTTCGATATTTATTTTGCGTTTAGGAAAAAAACAATAAAAAAATGATAGAGTATTTTTGAAAAAGTATTTTCCGAGTTAAAAAAAAAGAAATATATATTCTCTCTCTCACGAACTATCTCGCTTTCATGTTACTCACCTTTCTCTCAGATATATTTTAACAATTTTTTTCTCTATCTCTTTTTTATTTAAAATATATTAAATTAATTTTTAATTATTTCTCATCAATTATCATTAATTATTTTTTTCCCATTTCTATTAACATTTGATTTTTCATTTGGGATTTGGAGAATATGGATCAGATCACCGTATGATTGCAGAAACAATCATAACAGCAGCTGCTGGAATTTATCAAATTAACGATCAACTGAAATGTTGGAATCTGTGCGCCTAAAGTTGCCTAATCATTAAAAAAATTCCTACGAAATCACATAATGCTCTCGTTGAGAGTCGAACTCAAGACCTCCCGCTTACTAAACGGGTGCTCTAACCAACTGAGCTACGAGAGCTGCTTGCTCAGTTGGTTAAAATTAAAAAATACAAAAGTATCAGATCTAGGGAACATAGTAGACCAAAAGGCTGTAGGGTGGTTGGAGCATCATTGATGAAAAATGAAATCGATGAAAGCACACCCCCTCCAATTCCTCTCCCTCTCCAATCCATCGAAATCCACTACCATCTCTCCTTTCTTGCACCAGTTGTTTGCATCATTTTCTTCTTCAATTGAAACGCCAAAACTCGCCACTAATTCAGAAGTACTAACAACATTGACACAAGAAGAAGTAACCAGAATTAATCTTTTAATCCCACGTTTATGTCTCTTAAACCACTTAACCACAGCTATCCAATTAACCACAACTACTCTCCTTACAAATCCACCTCCAAAATCCCTTTCTTTTTCCGTTCTCGTTCACTCTCTCACTTCTCAACCTGACATGATCAAGCCCATTTCACTTCTCACCATTCTCAGGCACACCCCGATAGCACATTCGCATCTCACACCCATAACCATCATGCTTATCACTTCATATATAAAAAAGAAGAGACCCAAAGAGGCCTTGAAGGTGTATCATTGGATTCTTAGGCCTGGCTCCCCATGTAAAGTTGAAAAGATTGTATTTAGTGTTTTGGTTAATGGGTTTTGTGAGTTTGGTTGGGTTCTCGAAGGTTTGAAGGTTTTGAGGGACATGGTCAGTGTAGGGTTTTTGCCTATTGGTGGGTTAAAGGAAAGGGTTTATAGGAGTTTGTTGAGAGAGGCTAGGGTGAGGGAGGCAGTGGAGTTGGATAAGGCTTTATGTGATTGTTTTGAGGATGTTGGTGGTGAGAGTTGTAAGGAAGTTATTGACTTGTTGGATTCTTTAATTAGGAACTGGTCTGAGTTAAGAGCAGGTATGCTTTAAATGTTTCTTCTTCTTTTTTTTCCCTTGGAACTGCTTTATCTGATTGGGTTTAGTTTGTATGATTATTTTATTATTTTTTTTTTGTTTACTATATGAATTATTGAATGTTAAGAAATAGGATGTAAAATGTTGGCATTTACAATTGTGTTCCAGATATAAGAAGATTATTTTATATGAAACTAAACGATGACAGGATTCGGTTATCTGTTTGCAGTCATTGATTTTTTTCGTTTTTCTCTCTATTTTTCCTCTTTACTCAGGGAGGAAAGGTTCAACGAGAAAACCCTGCTCGTAAAAACTGTATATATCGAACTGAGCAGTAATATTAGTGAAGAGGATTCAAAAAAAAAAGAAAAAGGAGGGGGATGTATTATGATTTCTCGCTTGCTGGAGCAGAACAATCTAGTCACTGGTACTGGAAAGTGGCTGGATTTTTGGTAAATTGCTAGAGAGCTATGCTCTAATAGTTACGTCTCAGTGGGTGATGTATGTTATATTTTACTGATTGCTAGACTTAGACATTTAGCATATAATTTTCCTAGTGAGGGATAAGATCACCGGATACGAAGCTCATGAATGGAGAGATTGAACAATTAAAACCAGCGTCTTGCTGAAAATATTAAAGCCACGTGTGATGTAGTAAGAATTCACAATTCCATGAGTTTACCCTGATTTTCGTTTGTTTCAATGCATCTGCTTAAGTTTGCATTTCATTTGTTGCTTTTCCAAAGCAAGAGAAGATCTTTCATCCTGCTTAAACCTTTGTAAAAAATGAGTAGTTTCTAACTGTAACATTTTTGACACGGGAAAAATTCAGGGGGCAGTTCATGTGCACTCTAAGTGAGGCAGGAAATTAGGATGAGATGTGAGGATGTGAGTGCAAGTTCATCCATTTCCATTCCCAACCTTGATCATAGCCAAGATACCTTTAAATTCTACTGATATTAGTTTTAGCATTGTTGTAATATAGTCATATGACCTTTTCCTCAAAATAATTTCATTTCACAGCTAGACTGTGTATCGTTCATTTTTATGGCCAGGTTACATTTTGTGCTTTCCTGCAGAGTGGCTTACTCAAATCAGATGGGTAAATTGTCCTTTGATACATGTGGATAGATGGTCAAACAAGGTGTTCTGGATCTGATTTTTGGAGACTGTTTAGGGTTTTATTGAAGTAGGTTTCTGCTGGAATATGAGTAAATATGTGGGTAGAATCCTAGGAGTCACACCTAGAGGATAGAAAATCCTAAGCTTCATACCTAGGGTTCTTTGGAGTCACTCCTTAGAGAGATTGAGTCACACAATTAAAAGCAAATTTTTAGAAATTATTTGATATTATTGCATACTAAATATTGGAAGACTACATACTGTACAAATAGAGTTGTAGAACTCCAAATCCAATTAGGACAAGGATTCCTAAACCTCCAACATAACTACTCCTAATTAGATTAGGAAAACCTATAACTATTCCTATTTTAGAATAGGAAAACTTAATAACTTTAGGATTAATGACATACTTAAACAGAAATACTATAATTTCAGATTTTCTAGCAGATCTGAAATTACTAAAATAGCCTTATCAATTATTCAAGTTTTGCTTCCTTTGTTGTCTGCATCATTCTCCCCTGGTTGGAGAAAACTCAATCTCGAGTTTTGAATTGTTGAAGTAGCAAAAAAAAAAAAAAAACAAGTTCCACACCTCATCCCATAGCTTGAAGCCACTCCCTTGAACTTGATACCAATTACCCTTTGCCATAAGTGAAAACAGTAAAGGAAGCATGATGTCTTTCTCTATAACTGAATCACCAAACTTGGGTGGAAGAAGTCAATATGATTGATTTGTACAATTTGCTCATCCCTGTCTTCAGTATCCTTGATGTTGTGCTTTTACTTTGTCTTGCTGAAAATCAAGATATCATCAAAATAAATGACAAGAAAAAAACCAATAAAGTGCTGGAGTATCTGGTTCATAAACCTTATAAAGGTGCTAGGAGTGTTGGAAAGCTCAAATGGCATGACTAGCCACTCGTAAAGGCTATCCTTGGTTTTAAAGGTTGTCTTACATTCATCACCAGGTCTGATTCGTAACTGATGATACCCATTTTTTAGGTCAATCTTCAAAAAGATGGTAGAACCAACCATAACATTCAACATGTCATCTATATGTGGAATAGGAAAGCGATATTTAACAGTAATCTTGTTTATAGCTCGACTATCAACACATATGTGCCAAGTACCATCTTTATTAGGTGTTAGTAATGCTGGAATAGAATAGGGACTTAGACTTTTGGGAATAAATCCTTTGGACAGCAACTAATCAACTTGCCTCTTGAGTTCAGCATGCTCACTAGGATTCATCCGATATGCTGAAAGGTTAGGTAGTTGCGAGCCTGGAACAAAATCAGTTGCATTCTGAATACTATGTAGGGGAGCGAATTCCTTAGGCAAATATTCTGGTACAACATCGGAGAAGTGCAATAATAATCTAGTCACCTCTGGAGTCAAATTAGAATAGGGGCAGCAACAAATTTTTTTGTCTCTCTTGCGAGAATAACAAAAATCACCTTAGACTTGGAGCTTGTTGCTTGGAATTATTTTTTAGCCAATAGTTGGAGATACTTCCTTGCAGTGCCACCAATACTTTTCGAATTCTGAGGCTTTTCTTTATATTTCTTGATATCAAGTGAACTCATTGGCCTTAGGACAATAACTTTCTTTTCAAAGGGAAAGCAATATGTATTCTCACGCCCATCATGTTTCACATGTCAATCGTAAAGCCAAGGTTGACTAAGAAAAATGTGAGCAACTTGCATAGGAATCACATCGCATAATATAGAATCACTATAGGATCCACAAGAAAAAGAAACATTTTTTTGTGTTACCGGGATGGTTGTGTTGTTAATCCAAGCTACTTTGTATGGTTGCGAATGAGGATTGGTAGGAAGCTTGAGGCAGTCAACTGTGGATGCTGAAACAACATTCATACAACTTCCACCATTAATTATAAGCTTTTTGGCTTGATTTCCACAACTAACCAAGGTCTGAAATATCGTATACCGTTTCCAGTCTTCATCTGTTTCTACCTTAGGGGCTGCAAGAATGCGCTAGTAGGTAAAAGAGAAGTATCCATGTTGTCATTATTAGCAAGGTCATTAGGTTCAGACACTCCAAATTCAAGTGAATTGTCAGATTCTTCTTGTGTCTCCTCCTCTCCTTGCTCAATCCCAATATGCAAACTATTTTTCTTAGGACATTGATAACCCATGTTTCCATGCTCCCCACATTTAAAACAGACGGACCCTTTGTTATCTTTTCTTTTAGTGCAGGCTACATTAGAAGAAGGTGGTTTTGAGGCATAGGAACGATTAGAAGGTAGTGGAGAGGCTGTCCTTACTTCTTTATTCATGTCATTTTACCTTTGTGTTTATGTCTCCCCAGCTTGAGACCCAACTTTCCTTGTGATTGGGTGCTTTAGGTACTCCTCTGCATCAGTTGCTATTTGACATGCATGCTCTGCACTGTAAAGGTCCTTCCCATGCAATTCCCTCTTGATATCTGCTCTCAAACCAGCCTTGAATTGGGCAAGGGCTTGTTCCGGATCTTCCACAATTTGACCTCTGATCTTTAGTTCTTCAAACTTTTTCCACATATTCATTAATAGTTAGGCTGCCTTGCCATAAAACGTAAACTGCCTCGCAAATCTTTTGAACATAATTGGCTGGCATGTACTTTTCCATAAGCTTGGCTTTCATCTCAAACCAATTAGTGATAGGTGCATGTCCAAGTTGACCTATGTCCTGTTCAACACAAAACCATCAAATCTTGGCTAAGCCAGTAAGCTTCATCTTTGCAAATCTTACTTTACGTTCATCCAACGTATCATACCAATTGAAGAATTGGGACCTAATCCAATCATTGAATAGTGTAGGATATACCTTTCCTTCGAAATCAGGAGCATCAACTCTTACTTTCTTTGTAATATCACCAATAGTGTCTTATGGGTTGATTTGTTCTCTTCTTTGAATAGGCAACGCAGCTGGTTGGTTACTCTGGGCAGCCACAACATCTTGAGTTTGTGGAAAAGAATTATTAGCTGTTGTGACAGCAAGTTGCTTGCCTAGAACAATTTTCGAAAGCCTTTCAATTGACACCTCTATTGCTGCAAGTCTGGAATCAAATTTTTCTTCAATATTATCCAGCCTTCTGTCCATAGATCTCTAGCGTGCTTCAACTTCTAGTCGAAGGGCTTTAAATTTTGTATTGACTTCTTTGATAGTCACCATGATTGAAGAACACAGCAAGAAAAACTTTTAGGATCTTGAAGCTCTGATACCAACTGATGCAGGACAGCGGTATCAATTATTCAAGTTTTGCTTCCTTTGTTGTCCACATCACATGCAGTAGTGAGTTCATTCTGCTGTATGTTCCCAGCTAAAACAATTCTTTTATGCAGAGCTCTGTGTTTATTCTCCTTTGCTCTTCAGTCCAAAACACGTCTTAAATCTCATTTTTGCCAAACAGGCTTATACTCAAAGGAGCCTAGCCAAATATCAGGGTTGTTGTTGTTGTTGTTTTTTTTTTTTTTTTTTTTTTGGGATTCCTTGTGGAGACAAATTGGTTTATCTGGAACGTCCTGACTACCTCTTTGGCTTCTAGGCATTCAATATATGACTACATTCCCTTATTCTTTTTCTACATCTCCAAGGCAATTTCCTTTTCTCACCCTGGTTAGTGTACTGTTGCAATGCCCACCTCCAAAGCCACTGATATTGGCCTTACCGTTTCTTGTTCAACTGTCAATTTTTTGTTGCACTGCATAAATGTTGAAGCAAAATCTGAAATTAAGTCTTTGATGGCTGTGGTTTCTTTGTGAGCATTGCATTCCGCTTATGGTTGGATTTTTTTTTTTTTTGGCTGCTACTTGCTCTAGTGTTGTCGCATGCTTTGAAAACTATTCTGTTTCTTCCAACAGCGTATAAAGTTTTGCATGAAAGATCTTGACTCCTTATATAACTGCTACGTCCTTACTTTACCACCATATGCAGTTTTATTTGTACTATAATTTAGTTTTATATTGTTTAGAGTCTGTGTAGCTCTCATAATTGTTTTTCCATGTGGCAGTTTTAGGTTTTACTTCATAGGCGACACAATGAGTTTTTGTGACCTCTCTCTCTCTCTCTCTCCCCGTCAGTTCCTTGCTGGAGCAGGTTGTGCTGTGCCATTCAAGAATACCTAGGTACTAATTCTCTCTCCGTCAGTTCCTTTCTTAAGCTCTCGATCCTTGCATGTTGACTGCGATAGGTATCTGTGGAGAGAGCAACGTTTTTGTGAAGGATGTCTCCTTGGGTGCACAAATGCTGCAGGGGGAGGTCCTTGCCTAGCTGGCAATTGTGTCATGTTTTCCAGTCAAATATCCTCGCTCATCGCTATGGAAGGCTTCTTCGGGATCTGTAATCTTTTCATTCTCCACATTCGTTTCACCAGATTCCAGGAAAGAACATCACACACGGAAGTGTCTATTAGTTCTTATGATCACTTTGGCAGATGAGAGATGGCTCGAACAATTCGTCAGCTCAGGTCAGGTTGGTATCAGATTGAACGGTGCTGTATTCCTACTTTCTCACTGGCCTGATTAACATTTTGGTTTAAGTTATCATTTCTTTGACATGTTTATGACTATTATCTATTATATTTTGGAACGATATGTATGGACTACTTACCATATGGGATTAAGTTTGGGTTTGGAATGGCATACATGATGCAAGGGATAGAGCGGAGGCGAAGTCATAAACCGTCTTTGTCCCTGTTTTTCGAACATAAACGAGTTATTTGTTTATTTTATTGTTATTATTATTAGGCGATGTGGGGATGGTGACTGAAAATATTACCAAATTTTATTTGTAATCTATCTTTAAAAACTTTTAAATTTTCAACTAATGTCAATGTCCTGTACTTATCAACTTTAGTCATTGATTTAGGATAAATTATTTTTACCATTGGATTTGTTTAAACAAAAACTGTCAAAAATATAAAAATAAAAAACACAAAAAATAAAATAAAAAGCAGAAAGTGAGAGAAAAAAACGAGAGAAATTTTCTAGCAATATAATTTGGCCACTATTTCTCGTAAATACTACCATCAAATGAAAGCCTTCATCCTCACGATTCTATAAATACTATAACTTTACATGGATAAAAGTTATTATATGCCATTTTTAATTTACATTTTTAATGTTATTTTTAAAGGGAATGAAATACTTTTATGAAAATACTTAAAATAAAATATGCATAGCTTAGTAAATCAAAGAAAATAATATTTTTCCTATAAGTTTAACTTCAAAGCAAATAAAATAATAAAAAGATGAATATATACTTATTTTGCTTTAAACTATGATATATATATATATATATATATATATATATATATATATATATATATATATATATATATATACTTGTGAATGGAAAAAAATAGACCATTTAAAAATATTTAGTAGACAACATGGATGACAAAGATATATAAAGATAAAACATATATTTTTTACATTTTGTAACCTCTCGTCCTCGACGCCAAACAAGATGCAAGAACAAAGATTTATATTTTGTCTACTTTATTACCAAACACAAAACAGACTGGTATATTTTTCCAAACCCAATCTACAAGAGCTGCACTACTTGCTGTGTTTCCAGGTCTCGTATATTAATTATAGTAGAACTCTATTTCGTGGAGAATTGTTGGGTTTGTACTCAACTTTAAACTAAGAACTGGTGGAGCTTCAGCTTCCTTAATTTACACGAACTGTGACCAAGGAAAGCGTGGGATAATCATTCAATACTGTTCAATGTCATTTTTAAATTCTTGTTAACTTTCCTTTCTGAATGATAAAACGATACTCAAAATTTGTGGAATTTCATAAATGGTAAAAAACGAACCTAAGCTCATTCAACTGCATCCAATTGCCAATGATCAATAAACTGAACTCAAAATTATGCTGATGTCAGTGTTCTGTTTTGTTGATTACAATAATGAACGTGTTTCAGAATTTATTTTCTATTATATATATATTGTTTCGTTCACGAGTTCATTAATTAAACTCGGAGTTCTGGTGTTGGTTTTAAGAAAAATAATTTTTTATTTATGTGTTTGGCTGGATTTGGATTAAAATTCGAGGAGAAAGAAACTTAATCTTTATGTCCGAAAATCACAATAATTTTAGAATAATAATAATAATAATAATAATGGAGAAAGATTAAAAAAAAAAAAAGAACTAGCCTTGTTGTTTTAAAAATTAATTATTTAATTTATTAATCAGTATTTTATTATGTTTAATTTAATATTATTTTATCTAATAAAATATATGTTTTTTTTTATCAATTTTTATATAATAAATATTTATTTTATATTTTTTAAATAAAAAAGAACAAATAGAATTAAATAATTAATTTTTGAAGAAAAAGAATAATGGATTATTTTATCAAGACTAAAGAGGCTAATATGTAATTTACACGTTGTTGTTTCGAAAAAGAAGAAAAAGACAGTACAGCCCTGGAAGCTGTAAAATGTGGATAACGTTTTTACATTACTTCGACAGAATCAACAGTAGTGGCGCGGCCATGCCATATCTATCGCAAGAGTGAGAGCGTGTGAGAGCAGCAGCATTTTGACACCAAATGGCTTCTACTGTTCCTCTTCATCGTCACCTCACTCACTGCTTCTCTATCTCCCAGGTCTGCTTTCTCTCTCTCTTTCTCAGTCTTTGCTCATGTATTAGTAATATTATTTACTATTCCTATGAACTGACAAGTACCCATGTTTATGTGAAAAAAACAGTGTAAATATATGGAGGTTTTAGTGCAGCATGGATGGACCGCAAGACCACCCAGATACTCGTTCTTCAGAAACAGAGAAAGCAACATTAATCTCTCTAGTATCAGCAGACCCATTAAAGCTTTTTCAGTTGAGATACCTTCATACCCTCTCCTTCAACCTCCCCAAGTTGAAGAAGAGTCTGATTCTGAGGTACTCCATTTTCAGTTTCTGCTTCCTTTCTTATTCCCTGTTTGGTTTCTGACAAACTTCGGGGAATCAGCACAATTCAATTATGCAATCAAGAAACTGGTAGTTTCTAAAATGTTATATAATCTGGTTTTTAAATTTTGCTTTGCGTCAATTTTCTTTCTCTTTTTTAATTATTTTTGTTAGAAAGCTATACAAAATTGATTAATTAGATTCTGTAATAAGGTTCTTTTTCTTTCTTTTATTTCCTCCAGTTCCTTTCCTAATTGGCAAATATTTCAAAACAAACCGTTTAGTTGAAATGTTCTTGGTGTTTATTTATTTAATACGATAAGTGATGTTGTTTTTCAATTTGGTTAATTTTTTCCACTCTGCATGACAGTTGGAACCAGCAGACCCTGATTTCTACAGGATAGGTTATGCTCGAAGTATGCGTGCTTATGGAATTGAATTTAAGGAAGGGCCGGATGGATTTGGAGTTTATGCTGCCAAAGATGTTGAACCACTTCGCCGTGCAAGGGTGAGTAGCTTCATTTCAGCATTGCATGCGTAATTGTTATAGTCTAACTGGTAGCAGTAGCACTGTATCTGTCTCTTTCTCCTTGCAGTAGTTTGTGTGAGTACTTACTGCTGTTGCAACCTGTTGTCAATCAACTTGTTACTGTGTATATTCAAATACAATGTATTTGATCCTGTTTCGCACTTGCACTAAATTCTGAAATGGACTCCCTTCTGTGAGTTTCTGATGTGTGATTCTGTACTTGAATGGACAGATGGTTATGGAAATCCCAATAGAGTTGATGTTGAATATAAGCAAGAAGCTTCCATGGATGTTTTTTCCAGATATAATACCATTGGGTCATCCAATATTTGATATTATTAATTCAACCGATCCAGAGGTAATATTTCTGTACTACTGGAGTTTCTTTTTTTTGAAAAAACAAAAAATTTTAATTGCTAATTCCACTCTACATTGATGATTTGTATATCTTTGATATTCATTTATGATCCCTGCTTATTTTTTATTCTTTTAATCATGCAGTTGGTTGATGGGACGATTTGTTTGCTTTATGACAGTGATTTATCTTTTTGTTTTTTCTATCTTTGTGGTCTTTCCTTGTACTTATATTAGGTATCTCTCTGTGACAGACAGATTCAGACCTGCGGTTAGCGTGCCTTCTTTTATTTGCATTTGATTGCGAAGATAACTTTTGGCAACTATACAGTGACTTCTTACCTGGCGCGGATGAGTGCCCCAGCTTGCTTCTAGCAACAGAGGTGTGTGCAAATGTTCTATTATTCATGATTGGCAGCTATACAAAGACTTCCAGCTTTCATGATGCAATTGACCTTCTATTTACTAATGCCCTTTATTTAGTTAAAACAGCTATTGCTTTGGAAATCGGGTCACATCAGGGTGACACCTACTGCTTAGGTGTTTTTTTTTTTTTGATAAAACCTCTGCTAAGGTTTGTCCTTGTAGAGTTCTAAGTCTGTTTGGGGGGTAAAAAGCTGAGCCTCAGCCAGAGGCAATGAGAGCAAAATTCCCTCCAACTAAAATTAAGGCTCATGCCTCAAACTTTTCTTCAAATTGATTTCTGATGTGCCTGCTTAATTTGCAAACAAAATGTTCATTCGAACGTTTGAAGTTTCTTCCAGTTGGTAGCGGCGACATTTCTAGTCAATTTGTTTTGTATGTAAGCTATTTGCTGAATAAAAGCCTCAGCAATCATGCTTCTCTTTCCTATTTCTAAATATGTGCTGTAGGAGGAGCTTTTGGAGCTTCAGGATGAGAATCTTGCATCAACTATGAGAAAACAGCAACACCGAGCCTTAAAGTTTTGGGAAAAGAATTGGGTAAAAGAACATCTTTATTAAAAGAACTTTAGTGTTGCTGCTTATCCTCTATAAACTACCAAAATGTTCTCTCTTTGATAACCAACTGTTTGTGCATGAAAACCACTCAGCACTCTGGTGCTCCACTCAAAATAAAGCGCCTAGCTCGTTATCCTGAGAGATTCATTTGGGCACTTAGTATGGCACAATCACGATGCATTAACATGCAAATAAGGATTGGTGCGTTAACTCAAGATACAAATATGCTAGTTCCTTATGCTGGTAAGCTTCTGTCTTTAGCACTGCTCTGACTTTGTTACCTAGTATAACAGACTGGAATACCATTACGAAATTATAACCGTAGAGGCTTGTTTGCATCAAACATATCCCTGCGACTCCCACTGGCACATATTGGCAGATTGGTTACACCTCTGCCATTAGGTTTTCTATACACTAACTACCGATTCAAATATTGACTCAAATTATAATTCAATCATCTTTGACCATTGTCTCATTTAATTTGCATAGTACAATTTTAATTTTAGCTAGTTTCTTAATGGGAGAGGGGAGAGTGCAAACTATCATATGTTATTGACTTTTTATTGTAAATTTATGTGGTGCATTATTTACTTTGGTGTTTAAAATCTTCATTAAACTTTTCCTTGAAATAAGTTTCCACTGATATATGCTAAACAATTTAAAATATTTTATTCTAAGAACTGATTACTCAAGCCTGTCATTTAATCAATGCAAAATGAGATGTACTTAATCTTGCTTAGCAATATTTTGATAGCAGCTTCTTCACAGGAAAAGAATTAGTACAGCCAATACAACTTTGGTACAAGTTGAGTTGATAAACTGCAGGATTACTAACCTGAAAATATGGGTTTATTTTCTAATTTTCTTTCTCATCAGTCATATTGCATCCACAAGAACATATCGCGTAGTAAAGTTTTAGAGAATGGCATGTCTTCTTGAACAAGATGTTAAGTAAAATGTATGTCAGTTTTTCCCTTAATGTTAAAGGTCAAATGTATAAGTGATCTCTCAATTACTGTTCAATTTGAAATGTTCTGTTGTGATCCTTCAACTACTTTGCAAAATTTTGGTGCAGCATCCAGCTTCTGTTAGCTTTTCGTTGATGTGGTTGTTAACAAGTAGAGTGACCCATTGTAATGCTTCTATAGGTCACTTCAGCAAAAATTAACAAAGTTTGGACAAAAGGATCACATTAAAATTTGCAAAATAGTTGAAGATTCAAAATTAGAATGTTTGGTGGTTTAGGGACTGTTCATATAATCAGCCGAAATATTAAGGCCAATTCTTAATGATAAATGGAACAAATATTCTATGTGCATTGAGGTGGTTATAGTAAAAATCGAGAAGTTTATGGAGAATATTTGTCTGCAAAGTAGAGATGTTATGCCTATTACCAGTCAGAAGTTCCATGACTTGTTTTCAGATCAGTTTATGTTTCTCTTTCCTGAATCCAACCTTGAAATATTAGTAGTTAAATATGCCACAATGAAATATTCCTTTATATCTTCACACTTTTTTGTAGAGTACTAGTGTTTTTGGCTGTTTTGTCAATTTTTCCAATATCTATATCAGGTAAATTTAGTGATATTTTGCAGACATGCTAAACCATTCCTTTGAGCCAAACTGTTTTTTCCATTGGCGATTCAAGGATCGCATGCTTGAGGTGATGATAAATGCCGGGCAACAGATAAGAAAAGGAGAAGAGGTACTTTCCGTATATTTTTCCTAAATTTTGATTTTTATTCTTAAATTGGTCAAGTATCTCATCATGAAATGCATACACAACTGTCATTATTGGAAATTGGGAACTAGGCTAGAAACTGTGTTTGGAATTATATTTGTGTGAAAAGTTCATTGTTCGAAACTTTTAGATTCTGCTATCCTTATAATTCCATATTACTGCTTGTTTTCTTGAATAGAATCTTAGTACAACTACATTGGTACAACTAATCTGGAAAATTACTAAATTTCATCTTTTATAAGATCAAGTTGCAAAAATATCATGGGAGCTTTTGTTGATAGAAGTATGGCATGATATTATTTATGTTCACAGCTCACTCTCATTTAATGTCTGGTTTGAATTGCTTACTTAGTTCTGCATTTATGCACCTTTCTCTTTAATATTTTTCTTGCAAGTCAAAAGATAGCATTATGTGTACTCTTAAGTTGCTCCAGTATGGATATGATGTCCTGTTGGTTTCCTAAATTTTGTACAGATGACTGTCAATTACATGAACGGGCAGAAGAATGACATGCTCATGCAACAATATGGTTTTTCATCACCAGTGGTAATTTGCTCTTAGCTCCATCTAAAATTAAGATACTATAGTTTATAGCATGATGAGCTTGGGAATTTTTTGTTTCAAACCACCAGATTGCTGGTTTAGATTTGCCATTCTGCTCAACTTGATATTTTCTTAAGATAAAGTATTGCACCATTTGCTTGAGAACTTTTTTTCTTCTTCTTTTTATGTCAAGGCATACTGGACTTCTTTACAGCAGTACTCAATTGAATCAGGATCTTGTTATTTTGGGACATTCTAGAGTAATTGGTGGTTACTTTTATTTGTTTCTTAAATTTATTCTCGCTTGTTTACTAGGTATCTAAAGTATAGTCCTTTACTGGTTTTCAGCGATAAAGCCCCAAAGAACTAACAAAAAACCCTGTCTTAATATTTCAGAATCCTTGGGATGCAATCCAATTCTCTGGCAATGCACGCATACATTTGGATTCTTTCCTGTCAGTCTTCAATATATCTGGCCTGCCTGAAGAATATAGTCATAATGGTACGGTCTGTGTATTTTTTGTGATTTCCTTGCACCAACTTGCTATATTTATCATTTCAATGGCCAAACTCTGGCACCACATCTAAAAGATCAGGATGAAAATTTTCTAGCAGGTCATATATCCAGAGAGGGAGATTATTTTGTTGATGGAGCTGTTATAGCAGCAGCAAGAACGTTGCCCGCTTGGTCAGATGGAGATCTGCCTCCAGTCCCAAGCATAGAAAGGAAAGCTGTGAAGCAATTGCAAGAAGAATGCCGGCAGATGCTATCAAAATTTCCTACAACTTCTAAGAAAGACCAGAAAATACTAGGTAAATTATCGATGCCATCATGATGCCCTGCACCAAATTGAATTATTCTGCTACCTTTTAGCTTTGCAAAATAACTTAAGGTTAAGTGCTTATCATCCTGAACATGATTTCTCGAAGGATTGGGCCAGTTGGCCTTCTCTTTATGAGCTAGATTTCCCTATCAGACATTATCCTTGAGTCATGATAGTAGAATGATCGGACTGGTACTCGATATGTTAGGGTTGACCGAATGCATGATGTTCCAATGAGATTCTGTTCATTTGGAGTCTGTTCAGCTATTAAAATTTATTAATTTCAGGATGTTCAGATTATGGATTCCTTGTTTTGAAATCTTGATTATAGTACCAAGCGTTGCTTTCCTAGGTAAATCTAATTCTGAAGGTAATTTTTCTCAATCATAACAGATTCTATGCCAGAAGCAACGCGGACGCTTGAAGCAGCAATCAAGTACGTTATTGATATGATACCGTTCCCTGTGCATTTAATTTAGATATGCTTTTCATTTCAAATAAACAAATAAACAATCTGAATTTAACACAGGTATAGACTGCATCGGAAGTTGTTCATTGAGAAGGTTGTCCAGGCATTGGATATGTATCAAGAGCGCATATTATTTTAAGCATGGAGTTCTCCTTAGTTTCCAAAGGAGCCATGACAATTTTGTTCTACATCTGATGGACCAAATAGTGAAAGCATAGTTATCAACGGTTTCTTATGCACTGCAGTAGTTCATGTTCCTGTATCTAGAGTTCTAGACATGACCAACAATGGATGCAAGTATGGCTCGAGCAGAAGACGGAGATTGCCATCTGGATCAAGTCATGAGTGTAAATGGGATCGGTTATTAGCTTTCACCGCATTTAACCAACCTAAAAGGATTGGATGATATCAGAGGACAGCCACCGTGCTTTGATCCCTCAGAGGGATTCCTTCTGTAGTCTGTATACAATTGACAAACTTTTACTTGAAAAGAATCCATCCGAAACCAACTCAAAATGCCTCCAGGAGGGGGATAGCTGGTTTATCTAAACCTAATTTTTGGATGTAATAAATATTTGACACTTTTTTGGGAAATTGCTTCAAGGAATATTATACTTAATAATCTCTGGAGAAAGCCAATATCTGTTTTCAATTTCAAAAGAGAAAAATCATTAGGTACTCAGCATTGCTGCTTCGCTCACCTCCCACAAAGGTGGATTAGAAATTGGTTTTGATGTATGGAATGTAAACCCATAAAACCGGACAAGCCCAATTGAAATGGCCCGACCCAAAACAAAACCAGGCTTCACTTGTAACCCTTTTCACAAGCTTGCTCGACATACCTAATTAAATAGTGTCATAACTTGAAAATCTTGTATATTTCATGTATTGTGTAGTATACTGACTCTAGATATATATACAAAATAATAGAGTCTAAAGAAAAGGAAAACAAAAGCTATACAAAGAAAGGAAAGGTTGTACATAAAATCCCGTGATCATTGACCTATTTTATAGCCTATATTGTAGCCACTAATACTATTAACACCCTCCTCAAACTCAAGGTGTGAGTGTAGATACCAACTTGAGTTTGCTTAGTAAGTCATAGAAGTGAGTGGGAAGATGAGTCTTGGTGAAAATATCGGATGTCTAGTCAACAAAGGATACCAAACACAGAGTGCCTTGAGTTGCATGGTGGTGAACAAAATAACAATCAATCTCGATATGTTTGGTGCGTTCATGAAAAACATTATTGTGAACAATTTGAATAGCACTTTTATTATCGCAATGGAGAATCGTGGCGGATGAATGGTGGATGCCCATATCAAATAACAACCGGCGGAGCCATAGTAACTCGGAGGTGGCATTAGCAAGAGCACGATACTCTAATTCGATACTTAGAGCGAGCTGTTATAGTTTACTTTTTGCTTCGTCAAGAGATGAGAGAGTCTCCCAAAAGAAGCAATACCCGGTAGTAGAGCGACGATCGGTGAGGTGACCGACCTAATCGGCATCCGAATAGCCGGATAAGACCAAAGAAGTGTGAGCGAGAGAAATATAAGCCATGAAAAAGTGTCCCCTCGACATAACGAAGGATCCGAAGTACGGTAGCAAAGTAAGAGGAACGAGGTGAGCTCATGAACCGGCTCACTAAATGAATGGTATAGGCAATATCGAGTCGAGTGACGATGAAGGTAGACAAGACTCCTAACAAGTTGACGATACAATATGGGACCATCTAAAGGGGTACCATCTAATGGAGTTAGTTTAACATTGAGTTTCAAAGGAGTGGATACGATCTTACTATCCGTGATGCCAGCCGAGAAAGTAAATCAAAAGCATACTTAGCTTGAGACAAATAGTAACCATTAGAGTTATGAGTTACTTCAAGGCCCGGGAAGTAGCTAATAGGGCCAAGATCTTTCATCTCAAAATATTGACGAAGATACTCGTTGCGGTTCGAAATGCAAGAAGTTGTCATCGACTATAATAATCATATCATCAACATAGAGTAAAAGAAGCACAATACCACGATCAATATGACGAATGAATAAGGCGAGTCATGAGGACTAGAAGAAAACCAAACGCGAGCAATAGTAGAGCTAAATTTTGTAAACCATGCCCAAGGTGCTTGTTTTAACCCATATAAGGCTCGCCGAAGTTTGCAAAACTTGTGAGGAGATTGAGTATAACCAAGAAGACGATACATGTACAATTCCTCTTGCAAATCACCATTAAGAAAAACATTTTTGACATCCATTTAAAGAAGTCATCAATTTTTAACGACTGCAATGGCTAATAGATCTGCGCATTAAGGTCAATTGAGCTACAGGAGTAAAAGTTTCTTCATCATCTTTTCCATATTCTTGAGTGTAGCCTTTGGCGACTAATTATGCTTTATAACGTTCGGTAGAGCCATCGAACGAGTTTTGATTTTGAAAAACCATTTGCATCCAATCGGAGTCTTGCCGGGAGGGAAATCAACTAAGTCCCAAGTATGAGTTTTCTCCAAAGCATGAAGTTCTTCATTCATAGCTTATTGCCAAAGAGGGTTAGTGCTAGCCTCATAATAAGTGTGAGGCTCATTTAATTGTATAATAGCACAATAATAATGGTAATCAAATAAATGAGAGGGAGTTTCTTTTACCCGAGTGCTTCGACGAATGATGGATTTAGATACAAAATCCATATTCAAAACAGTTTCAATAAAGTAGATGTAGAAGTAGGAGTATTATTATTGAGCTCGTTTTAGAATCCGGATCCGAACTAAGAAATAATTCAATAGCAGGATCGGTAAAAAAAGAGATGGAGTAATAACAGAGTGATGAAACTTGGAGAGGGAAAAAACATAATATTCTCCTAGAATGTGACATGTCGAGAAATACAAAGGCGCCGAGAGATAGGATCCCAACATCTATACCCTTTGTGTTCTATATCATAACCAAGGAAACATCATAAACGAGCACGAGGTTCCATTTTGGTGTGTTCATGTGGTTGTAGAAGAACAAAACAAGCATAACCAAAAGGTTTAAGGAGTGAGTAATTTGGGAGATTTCTAAAGAGTCTTTCATAAGGAGATAGGTTGTTGAGGACCAAAGTAGGAATGCGATTAATGGCAAAGATAGCGAGTGAGAGCAACCTCTCCCTAAAATTTTTTAGGAAAAAAATCAAAAACCAATAAAGTATGTACGGAGTTAAGGATATGATGGTGTCCGTACTCTGTTCGCCCATTCCGTTGGAAAGTATAAGGGTAAGAGCGTTGGATAACGAGTACCTCGTTGATCGAGAAAGCGAAGCAAAGAGGATTCTTTATGTTCCATGGCATTGTTAATGCGAAGAATCTTAATGCTATGAGAAAATTGAGTTTTAATCATAAGGGAGAATTTAATATAAGTGGAAGGCGAGTTCATATCATGTTTTAGAAAGTATATCTAAATAAAGCAAGAAAAATCATCAATAAACAACATAAAAATAATGATAACCATTAACCGAAGTAATAGGGAAAGGGCTCTAAATATTAGAATGAATAAGTGCAAAAGAATTATCTAAGTTAGAAGTACCGATATTAAAAGACAAAGCTAGATGTTTACCAAGTTGACAATCAAGACAACGAAAAGACTCAAATTTAGTAAATCCTAATAAGCCACAAAAAGCTAAAGATCGAAGTTTACTAGTGAAAGCATGACCAATGCGAAGATGCCATTGATAGATGAAGGAGTGTATGGTAGCTGCAGACATAAGTCTTTGAGGAAAATGAAGGGAGCAAAGCTCAAATAATCATCCTACTATTTGACCCGTCTTAAGAATCGGCCCGTTTGTGGATCCTAAACCCGACAAGCAAATGAAGAAAGCAAAACATTTAATCTCTATTCACATAATTGGCCAACGAGAGATAAGGTTTAAAGTTAAATTAGGAACATAATAAGTATTTGAAAGGCTAAGATTGGAGGTAGAAGTATGGTCGGTGTGAGAGATGTGCATTTGGGTACCATTAACAGTATGTACGGGTGTTAAAGAGGTGATCGATTGTTTTAGAGATAAGATATCGTAACTTAAGGTCATGTGATTGTACTATACAGAGTCAAAGAGCCAAGAATTATCCGAGATAACGGACATAGTAGAAGAATAATTAGAAGAGATAACTCTGTTTAAGAAGAGCCTCGAGAGCACTTATAGTAATGACGAGTAGAACCCTCGGTTGCAACAGTAGCAACAGATGGAAAATCGACTTTGAAAGAGCCCGAGATTTAGAAGAACCATTTTTTTATCGCAAAGGTCGAGTAGGACAATGTTCCGGAATGTGTCTAAAACCATGACAATATATGTATTTGATAGTAGGACGACTTGATAAAAGCATGACCAGCTTGACGACAATGCTTACATAATAGAGTTTCGCATTTTTATAAGAAGATCCGGAATGAGTGGCGAAAGAACAACTGCAGATGAAGGAGTTTTATCCAAATTAAGATGTGTTTCCTAAAAAATAATCTCGTGAATGACGAGCATCCAAGGTAGGCGAGAGGAGTGGGATGCAATAAAGAGGCTCTAATGACCTCATATTTTGGTCAAAGTGCCATAAGAACTCGAATGAGATGCAGATGATCTTCACCGATTTTGGCTCGAGATAACCGATTCCAAATAGGTTGAACTCTGAATAAACAAATCATTCACAAGTTGATCGGGCTCCTGTTTGATATTATGGATGCCGAGTCCACAGTTGATAATAGTGAGCAAAACTCGTAGTGGTGTATCGATTAGCAAAAAAATTCTATATTTCTTTGGCGAGTGTTATAATCGACAAACTGGATGTGAATGGATGGAACCGAGGTATTGTGAAACCGAGTGATAATTTGGTGATTCTTGCTGTCCCAATCGTCTAGTCGATTAGCAAATTTGACAACGAGACTCATCTTTTCTCGGAATTGGTTTAGCAATGTCACCTAGGTTACAATACGTCGAAGTTTACGCCCAGTCAAAAAAAAATTTATACCTTGAACCCATAGATTATAGTTGGTGTCATTTAAAGTAGTGGCAATAAGCTTGAGAACCTCCAATTTATCCATGGTAGAAAGATAGAAAACAATAGAATTCGGAGGAAAAGAAAGAAAAAGAGGATTTGACGGAAGAAAACTAAACTAGGCGAGAGGCACAAGAAATAGAGCATGAAAGAGAACACGCAGAGACAGAGGGCAAAATATTATCAAGAGAAGAGGCTGAGGCTAGGGCTCGATACCATATGATAAATTGGAAATCTTGTATATTTCATGTGTTGTGTAGTACATCGACCCTAGATATATATACAAAATAATAGAGTTTAAAGCAAAGGAAAACAAAAGCTATACAAGGAAAAGAAAGGTCGTACATAAAATGCCATGATCATTGGCCTATTTTATAGCCTATATTATAACC